AGTCAGAATAACAATTTAATAAAATAATACAATAAATACAATTATACAGACAAACAATTGGTTTTAACCCACAAAACCCAAATGTATAACCCAGCACCCTGGGGCATGAACAGAGTGGTGTTCTTTGGGCCCCCTGAGTCCAAAGTAAAAGGAGAGGGGAAAACCTGTTGGTGAGAGCGCTGTTGCAGTCTGGTCAAGAGTGGTGATTGCAGTCCGGTCAAGAGTGGTGGTTGCAGTCTGGTTGAAAAGTGGTGGTTGCAGTCCAGTCAAGGGTGGTGGTCTGCAGTCTGGTTGAGAGCGGTGATCTGCAGTCTTCCTCTGGATCCTTGGTTAAAAAAGTTCCAAGACTCCAAGATTATATATCCTCCAGTTCAGGCAGGAATGCCCAGTACTTCCGTCAGGGCAGGGTGTTCCACAATGAGTGTGAGGACAAGGAGGCACCCTCCTATCTCACAGGTCTCTTAACACCCAGTTTATAGCCTGAGGAGTCAGGCTCTATGGGCAGAGAGTGTAAACGGTTCATTGATACCAGTTTCTGGGAAATGGCATGGAAGGCAATAGAATACACAGTTTTGGGATACATCCATACAGTGATGAACTGGTCCTAGCTGTTCTAACTAGGACAGCCTCAGAAGGAAGTAATGAATTAACAAGCCTATTTTTTCCTGCCATGGAGTAGCTCATGTTTGCTAAGTTATAAGGCTGTGAAATGCTGTAACTATCACTAAATCATTTCCAACACTTACATCAGCCATTTTTTTCCTTGCTGTTGCCTCCCAGCCTGCCTCCTCCCTACTTTTTCAAAGGACTTTACCATAACTTCATGACCTCAAGATTATGGCTTCAACACAACAGTCTGCTACTGTTCTGACAACTCAAGACAAAGGACTAGTCCTCTCCACTCTTGAGGGTGGGAAAAAAGTGACTCTTCTTTATGTTAACAAATGTCAGACCTGGAGATCCTAAGTTCAAGTTCAGGAGAGTGATACAAGCTGAGATAACATTATCACTACAGCAAGAGGTTTGGATGTTTCACTGAACCTTATAGGCAAGTAGTTCTATATAGTAATTCAGCCATCTCACAGAAAATTACTTTGACTTGCCATGGGTCAGAACATTGCCACTGAAGGGTCTTGTTGTTCAGCTTCTCCCTTACTTTGGAAATCTTTCCCAACAGCAAACCATCTCAAAAAAAACTCACATGTATACAGACTGAGGAATCTTTTCACACCCCTGATGCATCTATAGGATGCTTCATGTCCTTATACCAAAATAATAATAATTTCCAGAAATATATTTTCCTTTCTGTGGCATATCTATTGTAGGATTCAGTAGATTTTGCACTGACTGCAAACCTTGTCACAGCTTGTTACAAAACTGCTTCAAATATCCAAAAAGAGTAGTACAAGTTTGTTCCTTGGCAGTCTCTAAGAGCATCTCTAAAAATATCTCTGCTCCCACAATCAAGCAGCTACCTAGAAACCTTTGCCAATCACTAAATGTTTTCCAAGCATCACTACCCACCTCCGCACTCTCAGGCTATCTTCTTCTTCCTGGGCCTGAAAAAGCAGAGGGTGTGAAGGCATGCTCCATCTACTTATATCCTAGCTGTAGATAGTGGGAGCTTGGAAATATCCTATATAGCCCTGATCTGAACACTGTGCTGGAACACAATTTGCAGTCTAAATAAGCAGATAAGCAATTAATCTCAAAGACCTTCCAATTCCTGATAATTAACCTCCTTTTTTCTTGCCTCATATATTTAGGAATTATATGACTAAATAAAAAATATATATAAACATTTAATATAATGCTTCATTCAATGTGCAGATTAAAACATTAGCTTGAAGGAACATTTTAAAATGTGGCCAGAATTTTGCACTTCTCTGGATATTAAAAACTTTAAATTACTGGTGTTTATATTACCTATATACCAGTACTATGCTGCATATACAGTACATTATAAAACTGTATAATGTGTTTCAGTAGGGAAGACTATAAAGCAGTAAATCAAACTGAAGAGTCTTTCAGGAAATGGTCCATGTGCAGAAAAGGCACTTCACAACATGCTTGAAGGGCTTAACTCTTTTCTTTACTAGGGATCCGAAATGTTCCAGTTTTATCAAGTGTCAGCTGCAATAATAGTAACTTTTTACCTGCTTGCAACAGAAAATGCCCAATGTCTAAGAACACAAGTCAGATTTTTGGTAACTAAATTGTTACCAAATAAATAATATTTTGTGCCAATACAGAAAAAAACTAAGCACAGTTGCAAACAAATAATATTGGTTTTCTGTGAAACTTCAGCTATGTGGAAATAGTTTTACACTGAGTTCATAAATAGCCTGTGAAATACAAGAGCTCTTGCTTATTTGAAGAGTTACGATTCATGTAGTATATAAGTGAAGCCTGACATGGAACCGGTTTTAAAGGGAATGGGGGGGGTTGTTCTACGAGCTTTGGCAATATACGAGGAATGGCTTCAGGCTATAGGATTTCAGAATAAGAATGTCACAAGAGGCTTTCTGCCAGCTGGGGGAGGGGGGAGAGTGGAGTGTCTACTCTGAAATGTCTATTTAGCAGCAGAACTCGAGTAATCTTAAAAGACATAGAAGACATGCTGAAACGAGGAAAAAAGCCCACAACATTATTTTTTCAGTCCCTCTAGTTAGAGCCTGGTTCCACTTAAACCTCTGTTGCCAAACACCAATTTTTGGGGGTGCTGAAGCAGGCATATCCATACAGATTGAAATCTGCCAATTATACAATTGAAACATACTTGTACAATCTCAAACTGTGATCCTCATAATCAAAGACACACCAACCACAATTTGAAGACAAAGCAAAAGTGACAAACTGCTTTTTTCATAATGAAAAAACGGTGAAACTTAAGATGTCAGTTGTCCTGATACATTAAGAAGGGCTTGAACACCAAAAGCCCTGTAGGAGAAAATGGAAAGGACCGAGACTACTGAGTGTAGAGACCACCTATGGGAGAAACAGCAGCATCTATAGGATCTAAGGAAGAGCATCAGCTGTGAGCAGGGACATAGAGTAATAAATCTAACCTGCAGGTTAGATAAATACCTATCAGACACTATTTAAGTATAGACAATTTTGTCTTGAGGAAAGCAGAGGAACTAAATGACTTTTGAAGTGTCCATCCAGCTCTACTTTGTTGTGTAGAAAATATACAATATTCTCAGAGTAAGCAACACATTTTTGTTGGGGATATTAAGCCATCACAGAAAATAAACCAAAATAATCAGAGATTGGTATTAAACACATGAGAAATAGGTTATCTTCCACTTTTTTTTTTCCCAAAGTTCTTAATCTTTTCTCATTAGCAGCTCATGCCAGTCCTTGAAACAGGGTATTAAACTAATGCCCTATTTGTCTAGCAAATCCATCTACTCCTTTAAAGATGTAACTAAGAATATAATATAGCTCATATCCTACTCAAGACCCAAAATAATTTAAGAAGTAATGGGCAAAAGCCTAAAGTGTATGGCAGGAAGCAACTCGGGCATGCATCAGTGATATCTGGTGCTTTCCTGAATAGAAAGAGCCTCCTTTGACAGTCTCAGCACCACCGAAGTCTGTGGCATGGCACCGGAACATGTTTCTTCTCACTCCTGAACTGGAATTCATCTGGAATGAAGAGGGTATGTTAGTGTCTGATTTACAAAAGTCATTTTTTCAGGGTTATTGAATGAAGAAATGTGCAGAGATAACCATGGAGAGAACACAGAGGCTTTGCTGGATCACGATCACATCAATGAACTACGTTAAGGACCTTTCCTTAGCAACCCGGCCTTCCATGAACACCTTTTCAGGACTGACACCCTGACTTTCAGGGACTGAGGCAGCGAGCCTGCCCTCGCTCACAGCGCTCTGCTCACACCGCAGCTGTAAAAAGCGCGTTCTCCAGCCGCCCGTGCTCCCAGGGGAGCCTTGCGAAACGCCGGGAAGGCCGCTGGCTGCTCGGGCCTGCCCAGGACAACACCTCTGCCGCGCCGCCAGCGCAGGCCCGGCAGGACACGGGCCGGGAGAAGCTTCCAGTGGCCTGGCCGGCGGCGGCCCGGCCAGGCGCCGGCTGTCCTCAAGAGAGCGCAGAGCTGGCAGACACCTCGAAGGAAAGCCGTGAGGGACCGGGGGGCTCGGGCACACCGGGCACCCGCGGCCAAAGGGATGCTGGGATAGGACACCGCCCCCCACCGACCCCCGCGCCCCGCCCATCCCGGCACGGGGCCGCGCGTTCGGGAAGCCCCGAACCCTTCTCTGGAACAACGCCCGCTTCTGCCGACGTCAAACTTTGCCGTTGACCCAATGCAGCGAGGGATTGAGAGGGGGGCGGGCGGACTTCGCGGAGGCCGGGGCGGCGGCCGAGCGTGGCCGGTGCGCGGGGCGCGCACGTGCGCGGACGGACGGCGGGATGGGCGCGAGGCGGCCCTGGGCACGTTTAGGGGCAGCGGCCGGGGGGCGCGAGCGGGCCGGGTAAGGGCCGGGGGTCCGGTTCAGCGCGGTTATCCCGTCCGTATCCCATTCCCTTCCCTCTCCTGGCGCCCTCGCGCCCTCGCCCTGAGGGCGGCCGCTGGCCGAGGGGCCCGCACGCCGCGGCGGGAGCACCGGAGCGTTCGTCCGAGGGCTGACAAGCGATTTCAGCCGGGGATCTTGGCGTGGGCGTCGTCCCTTGCCGCCCACTCGTTCCGCCGGGCCGATCGCCAGCCGTGCCCCCGGCCCGTGTTCCCGCCTCGTCCCGCCTCCTCCCTCCGGAGCGCCGGTCGAGCTGCCCCGGTTTGACGTCTGCCGAAACGCGACACGACCTCGCCCGGGCGTGCGTCGAGTCCCCGTGGAGCCGCTGCCGGGGTCCCGCCCGCGGGAGGAGGTCAGGCCGAAGGGTGTCTGGGCTCTCCCCCGTGCGGAGTGGCGAGTGCCGGCGTTCTGCGCTGACGGTGGGGCCGCGACCGTCGCCGTGCTCGCGTCTGTCGGGCACTCTCGGCTCCCCGATAAGCTCGGCCGCGCTATCGGCGGGCATTTCCTTGATGGAAAGATTTGCGCTTTGTTGCCTTCACCACAAGAGGTTTGCTCTTGTTGCCTGTGGATGAGAAGGTGGGAAACTGCTGGCCTTGAAAGAGACGCACGCTTGTTTTTGCTGCTGGTCCAGGAGTGATTCCCTGAGGAATCGGGGAGGAGCGGGTGGGTGCAGTGGTCAGTCTCGGTCCTCTGGTAATTTCCAGGGTGCTCCGGAGCTCCAGTCATCCCTGTAGTAGGGTTGGGATGCTTTCCCTAGAGAAAACAGGCGTCATTATTTTCTTCTCTCAGATGATGAAACTGAGGCACAAAGGAAAGCGGTCTGCCAAGTGTGTTGGCAGTGCAGAGGAGAATAAATACCAGTCTCAGTTTTCATCCTTGTGTTAGGCTGACTAGGAGTTTGCCAGCTGGTGGCCTCTTATTACTTCTGAGGCATTTCTGAAGGAGAAACCTGGGAGTAGAATTATGTGGGATTATAGTTTTGTCGTTGGTGATCTGTCCTGTCACTAGGAGGGGAGAAAAAAGGGGGGGATCCACAACTTGAAGAAATTGGATAGTTTTGGGGGTTAATGGTCTTTTTTCTTTCACTCTCTTTTTTATAAAAACATAAAATTTCTCTTTTTATATCCTGTTACTTTCAGAGGAATAATTATGTAAAAGATATCTCTAGAGCATCTAACTTCTGAACTCAAAAGATTTTTAATCCGTTATGTTGATGTATCACAATAGGAATGTAAGAGTGGGTGACGAAATTTTGAGATTACTTCCTAGAAGCTGAGCCCTAGAAGTAATTATTTGAATCTTGTTTACATGTCTAGAAATGTGATAGCTTCAAGTAAAGCCAATATATAAATATTTTTGGCTGTGGGGGGAAGATACATGCACATCCATGAGTACATAAAATGCAGATACACCGTTTCCTGTGTCGCTTGTCTGGAGGATTAGCACTAGCACAATTACATGAAAATAAATAAACTTGGCCATTTTTTTAGTAATGATTTTTTTATTAGCGAGAACTGTCTAAATTAGAGAACCAGCATTGGTGATGATTAGGTTTGACTTCAAGATGAGTGCATGGAATGCTAAAACATTATTTTGTATAAATTAGTTTGATTTTTGGACTAAAGCTACTCATTAGCTTTGAAAAAATCCTGAAGTATTTCAGAGAGAATTATTTACAGTTTTAAGAAAATACCAGGAAGAACTTAATTATTGCAAGCAAATATTTGGTTCCTCTAATTAAATATTTCAGTAATTTTAATCTGTGTCCCTTTTTGGTTTTTCTTATTTTCTCCTCATTTTTTATTCTGAGTGTTATACTAAAACCCCAGAGGTAGGGAGAAGCCTCCTTCTAGAGACAAAGGAATGAGTAATGTAGAGAAAATACATACCTATAGACTGAAAGGGATAGAGATAATCACTTTCTCATAGAGAGATTTTAAATATGAGAATGAATTTCAGAATATTCTGTACCTATAAGGAATGTTATGTAATATTTTCAAGTGCTTCTCTTAGAGGTGTTTGGTGTTTTTTGAGCCTCATAAAGATTTCCAAGAAGGAAGTAAGCTTGGAGGAAGGAAGGAAGGAAGCTTGCAGATGAAATACTCTTTAATTAGAAAGCAGTTACTGTTGGAGTAATCAAAATTCCTTCAGAATAGCTACAGCTTTTAGATGGACTTTAAGTATCTGTCTGGCTTATTGTAGAACCTCAAGCTGTAGCTGCTTTGTGCAGTATCACTGGCCCTATCTGCCTGAGCTGTGTGGATTCTCAGTGAGAGATTACCACTTGAAGCTCTAAACTTTGCTCTTAATTTTTTTGAGGAATTTCTGTAAATCCATTTGCCAGCAACCTTTGGTCTTCCATGATTTACGTGGTGATGAGCCTTAACAGACTGAACACCTTCCTGTGGGGGTTGTGGTGTTATCTGAACTTCCTGACTTGCAAGACAAGTACATGTTTTGGCTACAGTCTCTTAAGCTGACATTGTCGTTTGCAGGTCATTTGGAAAGTAATTGTCACCTCTCTGAAACGGAGAGGTGATAATTCGTTATATGACATCTGTATTCATTTTGAGGTAGTTCTCATGATTTATGAAATAAGATTAATTTTTAAGACTTCTCTCTTGCTCAGAGAATAATAATACCTGTTTTGGATGAATGCCTGACACTTCTTCAAAAACAGGTCACAGGTTAATTATAAAACGCAACACTGTTGCTACTTTGTGCATATGAAGCTTGGCTTTAGGGTCGTTCTTAGTTTTTCATAGGACACTGCCTGAAGTATCAGCTTAAGGTTCAGGCATGAAGGCTTAGTGCTTTCCTTTCAAAATGGTTTCAGGATGTGAAGAAGAATAATAGAAGTTCCATATGATTTAGAGTTTAAATGGGGTGATCTCATAGCATATAAGTTTTGTAAGTCTGTCTTCGCCGAAGTAATCAGAGCGTTTTAACAGGTTTTCTTCCTCTATGAGATTACTTATGTTGTGAGTTAAGGACTGTTACCGACAGTAAATTGACTGTGTTGGTTTTACTCTGTAGTATTTTGATGCACTTTGATCCCTTGCCACTTAGGCAGACTAAACTGAGAATAACTTGACAGACTTCAAGCATCAGTTTCTTTCGCTGTCTCCCTTTTGTCTTCACCTAGTGATGCACAACAACTGCGTAAGTGTTGATTTGGCTTTTTGGTTTTTTGGGGTATTTTTTATGAAACGCATCTGAACTGACTAGGTGCTTCAGTGTTAGTTCAGCATCAGGTTTAATTTGCGCCTTAGATTCCTAATACTATATACCAGCTTTGGGCTCTGCATAACGAGTGAAAGAAACTATTGAGTTTTCTGTTGTCTAAACTAACGGCTTAGTCTGACTTAAAGTAGTTGATGGTGAACAGTTAGTGATTAACATTTCTGTTGACTGATGGCACTATCTTTTAAAGCTTGGGTTGGCTTATATGCAGGGTGCTTTAGCATTTTTACATGCTCAGATAAGAAAATGCTACTTTGCAGAGAAGTATCTTCCTCATTCTAATGTGAAGTATGGGTCCTTGTTTTGTTAGTTACAAGCCCCACCATTTTTTTTCTTCGTTTTTTTTACAGCCTTCATGTAGGCTAGATGGATGGAGGTGTCTAGTGTAATTCTGGTTCTTTCCCCTAGAACTAAATTATTAAAGTAGCATACATTAGAAGGGATTGTAATAGACCCTTTGTGGGCTGGGAGGTGTGTAGCTTCAGTCTTCTTCAAACTGTATTGATCAGCGAAGGAGGGGAGAAGTAAAATACGTCAGAATAGCCTAAAGCAGATATATTCTGAATTGTAGCATGATTTTGACACTTCTAGTTGCAGCTGCTTGGTTCCCATACTGTAGGTGGGTGGGCTTTCCACTTAACTCTCCTTTGCAGATGATGGAGCATGAGTCTCGGTTCTCTTGAGCTTTAGGAGCTGAATGCAGTACCACAATTAAGTACCATAACCTATGGAGAGTTCATTGCTCCCTCAAAACAGGTGCTAAATTTCCAAAGTGCAAGGTAGTGTAGAGATTTGGACTTGAGCCTCTCAGATGTGAATTAATCTGCTCAGGACAACTGAAATGTAGTATTCCAAGCCTGGAAAACAGTTGAATACAGAAATGGCATTTATTTTAAAGGATAGTAATTTTATTTAAATTTCCTATGAAAAACATCATACTGTAGGACAAAATCTGTGATAATTCCCTGTTATTGTTTACTTCTGATGACTGTTGCTTTTTATTTATTTTCAGTTGCTTTGCAGTTGTTTTTTTTTACTAACCTGAGCCATACTTAGTAACTGCTGGTATGAAAATTATTGAATAGTTTTGTGGAAGTATTGTTTAATCCGAGTAAATAATGACCGAAAAGAAAACCAGTAACTTTGCAATGATTTAATACTTAGTTTAGCTGACACTGCCATTATTCTAATGTGGTGCCAGATGACACCAAATGGGAGACAACTGTTGTATTGAACATCATTTTAAAAATTTTCCTTTTTACCTTTTTACATGTTTCATTCTTTCCCCTTCGGTGTGGAAGGTGCTTCTGCTGTTGTTTTGTGACTGTTGGCAATTAGCAGTGAAGTGGAGCTGCTGCTTCTTTCCATCTACCTTGTAGTTGCCCTCAGGATTCTGATGAATTTCAGATCTTCCCCAACTCAAATTGTCCTACTTAAATAGTTTTAAATGAGTTTTGCTTAAAGTGACAGAGCCTGAGGTCTATCCATAATAGAGCTCAACAAACTTTAGGTAGCAAGCAGTATTCTGAATTTAGCATGCAAATTTATACAAATTTATGAAATTAATTGGGATTTTAAAACGCAGAAATGCATGTGTAGGTAGAAACCTTATTTTTCAGATATTGGAGATATTACGTCCAAAATAAGCAAAAATCAATTGGTGTAGTTATTTTACTGTAGACTTGTAATAAATATCCTAAGATGTATTGCATTTAAAGCTGTATAATGGTTCTGTATCCAACCCAGTGAGAGTTCTTGAGTGGAACATAGGAAAAATTAATAGCTTTTAGATTCTCAATTCTGTGAAACTACGGTCTGATGATAAATATCTTGTTATTTAGTCAAAAAACAAACCAGCAAACTTCTAGTGACAAATATAAATGCTTGTTAATATGATTAATAATGTCAAGTCTTTCAATCAACAATGCTTCTAGTATAAAGTTTATCTGTAGGAAGTATTGGTGGGCTTTGAGTAATGGACTTGCAAGAATAGATGCAAGTAAAGATACTGCTGGGTGATTCCAATGGGTTTTTAGTTCTTGCTGAAAGACATCTAGGTTGGTAAACCCTACAGAGATGCTGCTATAAATGTTTGAGATTGGCTTCCATTTCGTTGTTGTTCCTGTGAATAGGGATTTTCCTTACATTACACTGTTCATCCTGATTTGAAAAAAAAAAAAAAAAAGAAAGCTTGTGTTGATGTATGAGATTTTGGCTTGGTGTGGGTATATCCATGCTTAAAGATGTTGTCTAGTTTTACTGATCTGTGTGAAATGCCTTGTGTCTTTCTGTCACTGTTAAAGAGCAAATTACATGCAATCAAAGCAAAGGAGTGTTTACTATCATAAATGGCAGTTTCTTTTTTCTTCTGATAATAGTAAATGTAGCTTATAAATTTTCCTGTCTAGAGAATACTGTGAAATACCTTTAAACATTTTAGTGAGTTGCCTTTTACAGAGGGATAAAACTCAGAATACTAGTTTCCAAAGAAGCTGTCAGGTTAGTGAAAAATAAAACTGCAGAAACCAGGTTGCTATAGGCAATCTCATCTCAAATCTTAGTAAACCTAGAAAGTCTATGTTTAGTTTCTAGCTGTATGAACAGTATGAAGACTGCTTCTAGAAATCAGCTAGTGTGCTAAGTATCCTATTTAACTGAGCCAATCTACCTGTCCTTGTAAAGGTATGTAAGTACGGCTAAAAATAAAATAGCTCATATGCTTAGTAAGAATGGTCACTTGCTGTTAGTAGTTTAGGGCTACTTTACAACTGCAAGTTGAGAAAACCAGAACAGACTTTGTGGCTTCAAAACAACTGGGGTGGAAGCTGCTGTGTGAATGCTTTAGTTCCCCTGAACTGTTTTATAGATTTGTCAAAACTGAAAATGAGTGAGCTCTGCTGAAATATAAAAATAAATAAGATGTTATAAAAAGCTTCCCAACTTCTGAGGAATTATGAACTCCCTTGTAAGGTTTTAAAGAAATAATTATTGCTTTTTCTATAGTAGACAACAGTTTTTGATATGGAACCTATTTTAAGTCACTCTTGTGAATGAGATACATGGTTTTGTGATGAGTTGTTCTGAACCTTGTCCAAAGCCCTTGAAAGCTAGGTGAGTATGGTAACCATAACCAATTTCATAGGGATATATTTTAAAACCTGAACCCACAGTGTTATGCTCTGTATTCTAACTGAACCTCCCATGGAAGTACCAGTGAAGTTTGTTTTCATATACAAAATGAAAACCTTAAGCTTATACATTTCTTAAATTTGTACCTGATGAGGCTTTAAACTGCATCAATTGTCTTAAGTAGACATTTAATTTTGTTTTAGCAGTGAGGGAAATGAAAACAATATGCCCATTCTCCCATTCTTTCTCTAGAGTGAGAAGATACAAAGTCTTTCAGGAAAGTAAATATGCATAAGTGAGAAATGATCTTAAAGCAAATGCAAATCTGAATTTGACATTGATCTAATCTAAAGAGTAATAGTTTAAATTTAAATATAGATATGTATATCTCTCTGTTACAGGAATTCCATGCAGCATGTTTTCTGGGTGGAACTGGGTGGCCTATGGACTCTATCTGCTGCTGAATATTTGTTCTCTTGAAGGTAAGAGTTCTGTTTTTCAAACACAAGAGACTTGTAGAACTTCTTAAATCAGATATTTGAAGAACATACTTGTTTTTGTCTAGATACTTGTGGGATGGGGACAGAAAGCAAGGTGTATTAGGATACCTGCTGTTCTTCTAATGCTAGTCCACCACAACAAAGGTCCACACTTACCCTGATTTTTCTGTTTTAACTTTCTTAACAGGAAATACCTTTTTATTGCAAGAGTAACTTCAAGAGTAATAACTTCTTCCTTCAAAACATATAAACATTCAACCCTAGACTCTCCTCTCTCTAAATGCCCTTGTTTATGAATAGAGCTTTTCTTGCTTGGTAAAATGCTTTTGCAAAGCCTAAGGAGCACTGCACTGGTTTTGCCCCTTAGATCTGCTTGGTGGTTTACTAATGCATTTCAGTTTTATAACTATCAAGTACTACTTAACTTCCTGCTTAGACATGTGTAGTATTTTTAACATTACACTAGCAGTGTATCAGCAGTATTGATTATGGAATGCTCTTTTGTTTTTAAAAAAGGTAAAATTCTTTTTTTTCTTTTTAGCTTCAGGTGGACTTGTGCAGTCATGTGGTCACATCATCCCGGAATCTCCTGTATTGGCCCTTGGTTCCAATTTCACAGCATTATGCATTCTGAATGAGAGTTGTCTTGACTTTGGCAACATCTATGCTAGTCAAATTATCTGGAAAATTAAAAATAGAGTGGTGCCTAAAGAACAATATCGTGAAATAAACAGAACAGTTTCCAGTGTCACATTTAATGACACTTCTTCACTAGCTACTCCTCTGACATGCAACATTTTAGCAGATGGACAGATCGAACAGAACATTTATGGAATTACAGTTACAGTAGGCTGTGAGTACCATTTTTTTTTCATGTTACTCTGGTCTTTTGAGAAACAAGGGAAAATGAAAACAATGAAAAGTGTGCATTTCTTGATACACTTATTTTCATTCCCTCAGTTCCTGGATAGTTGTCAAAAAATAGTGTCAAATTACATGACGGCAAAGCTGGTAAATATGCACCGAATAAAGTTTTCTAAAAAGTGGAAAATACTCAGCATTTTCAGTGTTTGAATAGGATGAAAATAGAACAACAGGAAAACCTTCAAGCAGGAAGATTTGAATTACAGAACTAAGATGTGGATTTAACAGAAATAGATCCTAGGAAATTTACTTTTCCTTACTTCTTCTTCTGTGTCAGTGTTGATTTTGAATTTTGAAATTAATGTTTTCTTCACTAATGGATTGAGAAATACTTAGTCCATCTGTGTCACTATAGCTAACCTGAACTGCCTTAAGGATGGAACGTATTACTTGTATTACTTTACCTGTAAACATAAGGAAATACTTGTAACTCATTATAAACTTCCCTTGTTCTAGAATGATAGTACTTGTGTAGTTCTGAGCAAATGTTCCTTGAGACAAGACTGAGGTCTTCAGAAAGTGGCATGAAAAACTTAATATGCTACTTCTTAATTACTTGGTATTCTGCTTATGGAATAAGTGTTCAAATGTCCTACATATCGTATGATATGGCTGATGAATTATGTTGTCTCCTGGTGTTGGCAAAAGGTACTGCAGTTATTGAATGGTCCACTGGCTTGAGTTCACAGTTTAGACTAATGTGGTTCTAGCATGACTTACAAAGTACTTTCACAGAAAAGTAATGTTTCCTATTTTAACTTCTGAGGAGTAAATATTTCACTGGAAAAGATGTGACAGATAAAACATATGGAAAGGTGAGGACAGATAAATTATGATAAACTGAAGGACAGTACAGATGACATTCTACACTTGTAACTCACATTATGTATCTTGACATGCATTTGTATTTAAAGCTATTGTATTTTGATTTCAGTTAAAGAAGAACTAAATAATGAGGCTAACAACAGGTTTGAGAAGAATACAATATAAGTTTAAGAAGGAAAGCAAATAGTTTTGCTGCACTCTGAAGAAGTTTCTTACACAGTACAGTGCACTGATGAAGATCCCTAATCTTCTCGCATGCATTTGCAGCTAAAGCATCCTGTATGAAGTAAAATATATTTAGATGAGAATTGGTTGATATCAGATTTTCTGCTTCAGAATGAGAAATCTTTGTCATTCCTTGCTGGCCTGTGCTTGTTCCTTATACAGCCTACTGTTTTTCAAAGCAGCTGGTTAAACTTCTTGACTTTGATTGCTGGATCATACCTTAGCACTCTTTTGCCACCTCCTTTAGAAATCAAATTGAGTAAATACTTCTGATGTTCACTAAAATTGCCCTAATGGAACACTTTGAATGATTCCTACTGGGTTGAAGTGTGTGTATAGATTAATTATTGCTAACTTTCTGTACAGTGCCCCCAGAGAAGCCCAAGAACTTAAGTTGCATTGTGCATCAGGTGTCAAAACTCACAAATCCTATGACTTGTACCTGGAACCCTGGAAGGCATACATTCCTGGATACTCAGTTCAGATTAAGATACAGATGGTAAGTAGCCCTCTATAGAATATCTGAATAGTTGTGAAGAATATTTGTAGGCTAAGCCAAACTTCCTTGAAATTCCTTGATGCTTTGGAAAAGTTCTTAGCATTTAAGTCCAGTTTTCTGAAGCATTGTTATCTGTCTGGTTTGAGGGGAAAGGGAAGAGTTAAAGAAGTTGTCATTGAAAATAATTCTAAGTCAGACATGAAATTTGTTGCTGCACTTATTTTAGAGTAACAACAATCTCATGGTTTTCCATTCTTCAAATACATGATAAGTGTGGCTTGACTACAATATGCCTAATAAAAGGTGGCTGTACCCAAATTATGTATTTTTCATTTTTCTGAGTTGACTGTTCTGCCCCATTCTAAACAAGTAGAAGAGGTCCCTGCCCATTGTAGGAGGATCAGACTAGGTAACCTTTACAGGTCCCTTCCACTCCAGACCATTCTATGATTCTAAGTAGAGAAACCAGCATATAGTGACTGAATTTTGCAGATGTATTATCTACTCTGCACTTCATAAGAATCGTGGACAAACACTATTCTGAATTGATCCTAACATGAAAGCTTCAGCAAAGTATTTCTACTGTGAAAGCAAATTAAGTATTTTTCAAACTCTTCAAATGGTCTCTTGTAGTTTAAAATGGAATGAGCGGAATTGTTGCTCTGCTCTGGAAACAAGAGTGACTGCCTTCAGCTTTCCATCCACCCAGTTCTGCTAAAGTGTTGTGGTAACAGTTGTGGTAGAAAGTATGCACAGATAGAAAACCTTAATGCTTTGCAAATCTCCTGATGCCCTAGAATTATCTACTGTTAATGTAGCAGAGGTGGTGAACAGAAATTGTGTTGCACCTCTAACACTGTACTCTTGATGGGTATACAGGTAGTACTGACTACATTCCTTAATGCATAAATATGCTTCTATTTAGTAGCCATGTTGCTTTTGATTAGTTGTATCAGTTCTTGATCTTTATCTTTTTAAGCTAAATCAGGTTTTTATACAACTTTAATTAAAATACTGTGGCTTGTGCTTTTGAAGGTATGTGACTGGAAGCCAAGAGATTTTATTCTGGTTTCAATTCTAATGCAATTATGCATTTGTGGCTGAACAAGCCATTCTCATATGTTTACTTTTTCTTCTCACCCCTCTGCTTACAGAGATAAGACATAGGGGTGGTAGAGGGGAAACATACAAAATAAACCGATTGATTGCTCTGATCTACTTTAAAATATTCTCTAAAGCAAACCAAACTTACTGCTTTGTACCTTGTTTTTCCTTCTCTTTTATTTAGGCCACGAGAGAATTTTCCCGACTGTATACCGAAAGATGTAAACAATTCTTGTACAATTCCTGATGTTCAGTTCTTTGTTAACCTGGAGATCTGGGTAGAAGCAGCAAATGCTCTTGGGAAGGCTGAATCTGATCCCCTTGTTCTTGATCCCATTGATATTGGTAACTATATGCCTGTTAAAGCTTTAATAGTACATTGCTGCTTCTGTGAATATTGGTGAATTAGTATGTTAATGTTTCTTCACTATAAAAATTAACACTGCAAAAATGTTGTTGACTAGAATTTGAACTGTGCTGGGCAAAGGTAGGGGCAGAGAGATTTCATCACAATTCAGATAGTAAGTTCATGTTGAGTAGTCTGCTTTAGAAAATAACGTGAAGTAGCAGGCATTTGAGCTTCTGAAAGGCTTTAATGGTAGTGTTGCAATAGAATGTACCAGCTCCTAAAATCATTGTAAAATACAGCTGTGGAACTGACTCTGACTTCTTCTCTTCTAGTTCAACCACTGCCTCCACACAATATAACAGTCAACTCAGGAATACTGCCAACTGTCCTGAAGCTTTCCTGGGAGAATCGTATTTCATCTGCTGTGATGAAGCTGAAATTCAATATTCGCTATAGGATCGCTGGTGACACAAACTGGATGGAGGTAATACCATTTATGTCCCTTGCCACTCTTCTTGTGTTACCCAGCCATCTGTCAAACTGCAGAAGTTTCCTCACTGTTGCAGTTCAGAGCATTCACTTTTATGTCTTTACACCTTATATGCCTACCCATGGTAGTTTATCTAGCCTGTTCATGAGGGCTGTGAACTAGCAGTTTTTTGGCACACTGTGAGTACAGTGACCTTCTCTTATCTTTGTGGGCTTCTCTGCTGTCCTCCCTATCACAGTGCAGTATGTTTATTTTGAATTTTTCTCTGCATATGCAACATACAGAACATTCAGAAGTTTCTGCTTCCCATGCACTGCAAAAACAGTGATCTAAATGTCATTTAGAGCTTGGGTAAACACTCTACCATTCTGGAATGCTTTTTCGAACTTACTGTACCTGCATTAGAGCTGCAATAACCCCAAGCAGTGGTACAGCCTTGGGGCAGAGTGGTTAGAAAGCTGCTTGGCAGAAAAGGACCTGGGAGTGCTGGTTGACAGCAGCCGAACATGAGCCAGCAGTGTGCCCAGGTGGCCAAGAAGGCCAATGGCATCTTAGCTTGGGTCTGAAATAATATGGCCAGCAGGACCAGGACAGTGAGTGTCTCCATGTACTCAGCACTGGTGAGGCTGCACCTTGAATCTTGTGTTTAGTTCTCGGCCCCTCACTACAAGAAACACGTTGAGGTGCTGGGGAGAAGGGCAGTGAAGCTGGTGAAGGGTACTCAGCCTGGAGAAAAGGAGGCTCAGGGGAGACCATATCACACTCTACAACTACCAAAAAAGAGGTTGTAGCGAGGTCAGCGTCAGTCTCTTCCTCCTGAGTGAGAAATGTTAGGACAAGAAGAAATGGCTTTGAGTTGTGCCAGGGCAGTTTAGATTGGATGTGAGGAAGAATTTCTTCATGGAAAGGGTTGTCAAGCATTGGCACAGGCTGCCCAGGGAAGTTGTAGAGTCACCATCCATGGAACTGTTTGGAAAGTGTCTAGATGTGGCATTTAGGGACACGGTTCAGTAGTGGACTTAGCAGTGATAGGTATATGGTTAGCCTCAGTGATCTCTTCCATCCTAAATGATTATGTAATTCTGTAAATCTGGCTGCCCTGCATACGTTCCTTAAGTGTGTTGCAGTCAAGGAATAGGAAAAGAGTAAGGAATATGCCTTGCCTTATTACCATCATCAAGATCTGTGGTGGTTTTTTTTTCTTCTTTTTAATAGCTTCTCAGTTTTTCCTTACTTTAGGCCTTCTATCAGAGCAGCAGTATTCCAGAAATGCTCTTTTTTTTCCAAGATCTTGTTTCAGTGCAGAGGCCTGAAAACATCCTGAATTCCATGACTGTTTGGAAGGAAATCTGCTTCTGATTTTACCAAAATACTATATTTGAAGCAGGTGGCATAACTCAGCTGCCCTTGTGGCTTTAGATGCAGAGACTATTTATTAAGATCACCTGTACTGATATTTTAAAGAGCACTGACCTGCACAGTGTAGTCTGCAGCTCCAGGATCTGTGGATATTTTGTCTTTACAGGACAATAGGGCAAGTTCTTTTAACTTGTCTTGCCCTTTTACCATGTACACAAAACCATTGAAATAGTAACTTTTAAATTAGCTGAACTTGCTTAGCTGTGGTAAATTTTGACTATCTTGGTAATTCTTTGCTCTCAAGATTCACCTCTTAAGTGTCCTGCATTTATGTTTTATCTGCAGTTATTCCTCTTGCAGGATTCCTCACTATAAAAACATTGTTGCAAATGGAGTAACATGTGACAGAGTCAGTGTATGTGTATGTACCTACTTGTGTCTATTTACATCACACCTGTTTTCGTACATAGACAGTAAGGTTATTTTTCTGGCATTCAGTTGCTCACCTAAGATAAACAAAAGAGCCTATGAAAATAAACTAATTTATTAGCAAAAGTATAAACTACTTCAGAATTATTTTCACTATCAGTTAAAAAACATTGTTCTGTGTCAGTGGAAGCAATGATCCTAGCCTCTTTAGCTTTATAGAAGGTTTCTAGCAATCAATAATTTTGCAATCAATTATTAAGCAGATAACCTAGCGAAGTTCTGAAATGTGAGACAGGGTATTACAGATCAGTAAGTAGCAGAATTAGAATTATATGAGAAGGAAGGAGAGAGAGATGTATAAGCTAAAATAACAGAATATGAGAGATTGTCCTGAGGTAGGTGCTTAACTATTCTAGTGCATGTATGTTGTTATACCCGGTAAAGACACACAACTCTGACTGAATCTTTGTCAAACAATGGTGGAGAATTGAAGCTTTTGGAAATAAGAGGGGAGGAAAACTGTTGTTTGTTACAGGCGTGTATGCAGTGGGGAGCCCTACTGGATGACAGTTGTAGTAGCACACAACTCAGCTTTACAGTATTTTGATCAGTGCCTTTAAAATCTTTCTTCCATGTATAGATTCCTTCTGAAGATACAGCTTCCCCAAGAACTTCATTCAGTGTTCAAGGGCTCCAGCCCTTCACAGAGTATGTCTTTTCCATTCGTTGCATGAAGGAAGATGGAGTGGGCTACTGGAGTGACTGGAGTGAAGAAAAGACTGGAATCACTACTGAAGATAGTAAGTAATATATGAAAGTAGGTCACTGACTTTCAAAGTGTGTGAGTGTTCAGCATTTTGGCAATAGCCAGCTGAAGTTGTGTATCCTCACTTGAGTTTCTTGATTAGACATGCAACAAAGCTCTCCTGAGTTACTTTCAGCACTGACTGACTTGACCCGTGCATTCCAAGGAGCATAAGAATAGTTTCCCATTAAGCCAATCTAGCGGTGCTTCCTGAAAACAGCTGGAATGGGAGGTAGGGAAGAAGCTTTCTTCACAGAAAACTTCTGTGTCTTCTAGAGGAAGTCTTCTAGAGGAGATGTAGGCTTTATGCTTGTTTTTTTTATTCTGAAGGTTATCCTCTGTAACAGAAGTTATTCTGCCTATTAGGAAGTGTTGTATTGGTAGACCTACTGCCTTAGTTTGTGAACAACATAATGTTTAGGACACCAGTAGATAAAGTTGTAGTTGAACAAGCATCAACAATTATGAAACAGAAGATTTTACTCACATAGGATGCATAGACTTCTTCACAAACTTCGTAAAACAATGATACAAAATAATGTGCATATAGTAAGTATAGCCTCTTGTGCACCAAAGCATCTAAATAAAACATTCTGATTTATTTTAACTTTTCCTAAGGTTTTCTGCATCTGTAACACTTTCTTGCTTATTAGTCACCTACAGCTGTCTCTGCGCTGTCTTGTACTCACTGTTTACATTATACACATAGTAATCAAGAGTCCTGCTGCTCATCACTGATATGGTTGTCACTGTGAGAGGCATAAGAAAGGGAATGCCATCTATAAAAGTCATCTCAGTTTAAGCAAGATTGAGTTTATGTGGAAGATAGTTTTATTTTGTTTATAATTAATCACAAAATTCAATTTCTTTAGTGTTCCTTCTTGATGATGTACCATTGGAGTTGTTGTTTTATAGATCTGACTTGTAATATCCCGTTCCTTTCAGTAGGGGTGAACACTGCTTGCTATGGTCATAATTTAATGAGGAAAAGTTCTTACCAACTTCATACTTAAGCTCTTTGGGGGCAGTATTTGAATCGTGTTTAGTCTTTCACAAAATGACTTTGCAAGCAGGATACATACAATTTCAAAGTGTAAACTTTAAAGATACACAAAAGGTAGCAAACCACTAGGTTTAAAGTTCACAACCCTGTTTAAAAAAAAAAAGCTGCTTAAGAGTATCAGTCAAGCCTCAACTTTCAGTGCTTTGTGGAACAAATCCTCAGCATTGTAAAACTGTTGCCATACAGTAAATCTGTTCATGCTACAACCAGCTCACCAGCTTGCCTGGCCTTTCACTACTTGCAGTGCTTCAGTCAGCTGTTATGACATTGTCTGTTTACATTGAACTGCATCTTCTGCAGGTGTGCTACCTCAGCCTGGTCATATTCGTATTCCTTCAGGACAGTGGCACAGAGACTGCACTCACTGTCTTCTAAGATGTGTGTCCACTGCATTCCACAGCACATTTTTTAACTTCATTGGTTGCTCTGAGTTGCTCATGAACACACTCATTGCTTGAAATGTCTCATGGCATTAAAGTAACTACAGCTTGCTGTGTTATGAATTCAATAGACTTCTCAATTCATGGAAATCACTGCAGTATGTCCCCACTAGAGTGGCTCTCCCTCAAACTTGTGCTTGAGTACAGAGATTGTACCTTCCGTCACTGAGTTGTGCTAAAACCATTAGTTGAGTATATTTTTGTTACTGATGTTGTTTAGCTGTTTTGTTTTGCATCATTTAGTGATTTAGCGATTGTGTCAAGCAACTGGAAACTCGTATGAAGTATAAAGTTGCAAAACAATAACTGAGCAGTAAAATCACATTAAAATCACACCCATGCATTTGTTACTGTGTGAAAAATCCTCTTATCAAATAGTAATTTCTTACATTTTTCCATTAACAGAACAAAATTACGTGCAGCATATATTGAAACACAACCTAGACCTATGCATTTGGCCTTTTAATTTGCTTTCAGTATAAAACCCCCACACTTTCATCAAGAACTTAGCTTTCTGTGGTCTGTTTTCGTTTTGTCATTCATCTTAGTAACCTGCATAGTCTGAACTGGAACTAATTCAACATCTTTAATAGATGTTTGAAATGTTTTTGAACCTGTATTGGTGTCAGAACACCCTACATTGTCTGGTTTGTTGCTAAAGGTAAAATGAATTAATTTCAGTGTGCAGTAAGCTGTTGAATACCTGTGTCATTGTGATGTATCACCATACCATTGTGATACATTGTAAATGAAAAAACAGTGGTAGAAAATACAGTGGTAGAAAAGCATTTTAACTAATTGTCATAACTAGTCTTCCTAATGACAATAGGATAGTCACACTTTTCCTACATTGCTTACTAATCAGATAGCACTTTGTGCTATTATAGGAATAAGTTGAGAGTAGGATAATTTCCTATTCTGAGTTCACTTATGGACAACTTAAGAGGTGTGGTCACCTCTTGCAAATGCCTAGATACCCTCAAAAATTTATAGGATAGTGGGATAACTTTAATTGGAAAGGAGGTTATGAAGTCCATAGTTTCGTGATTCTTTTTCTACCCAGTGTCAAGCTTAGACAAGGGACTCCAGGTTGCAATTTTGGCAAAACTAAACCAAAACTTTGTTAATATATTTTTATTTTTGAATTGCAAAGACTAAACGAGAAACAAGCAGACACTGGACACTTGAGTTACTTATATGGTTGTTATTGCCCTTAGTCAAACTAGAAAATTGACTTCTGAATACTGTGCTTTGTCTATGACTGTTAGACCCACATCCCAGAAGGTTCCACATCTGCTTGCCCTCTGCATTCAGAGATTTGGTGTTTGTCTCAGTAGCAAGCTACCAAGATACAGGCATGTTTACCCTACTGTTTTGAGGAAGGTACACTTCTCTATTTTTCATATGGTTTTATCCAAGTGTTATGTTTCCAAGCGTTAAATATTGTAACTAATAAAGTGAAGTTTCAATAGAATCTTTAAATGAAAATGCACAAATGCAGAATTACAGTGTTAGAGTAATGCAAGGATTCTGACAATTTTGAAATCTTTTGGCAGTTATTTTACTACATAATCCTTATGAGGAAACAGCTACTTTTTATCTCCAAATAGTGACTCTAGCCAAAGGTCTTCATATCCAGCAGAATAGATTTGTTGCATAGCTATGTAAGTTAAAATAATATGCATTGTGATTTCTTGGGATTCTAGAATTAGTAAATTGCCCTCAAAGGGATTTTATTTTAAAAGTTTGTTTGGTTTCCTCATGAATCATCAGTGGTAGCAGCATTGGGAATCACTTGCTGATTTCTGACTTTGAAGGGAATTAAATAATGTGGGGATTTTATCTTGTTTTTCTAGGAACTTGGTTATTAGTATCAGTTAGAAACTCATTCTAGAGTTAGGAGGAATGAAACTACTTTAACTTGGTCCAGTTTCCATTTCTCTTCTACTTCGATAGCCTGCAAAATTGGCTTTGTTTCTGGCCTATGCTGATCTTACCCCACATGGAGCCAGTGCACAGACTTTCTGTTTGTGTACTTCATAGTCAGTAGGGATCTATTCCTGCTTTCCATTGCTGCAAATACTTTGTGATAGCAGTATAGCTTCTAGTCAACCTGATTGATTTTTTTTTTAATGGGCTTTAGCCTTTCCTGCTTGCACCTTCCTAGTCTTTTTTCTGTAATATCCTGTGTATTCCATAATGCCTTCCAAGGCGTGCTGTCTTCTAAGCAGTCTGTTTGCTCTAGAGTTTCAGAGCATGTCTTTAAACAAAGCTAAACCACTACAGGTTCCATTGTTAAAACAGATCAGAAATCCTTCCTTATTTATCCTGACTGAATTTACAATAATGAGCTCTAATTGAATGAATTTGTCATCTTAGATTGGCACAATAAGAAAAATATTTTGGTAATTTTTGTTTAAACAAAGTGGAATTTTTGTGCATAATGGCATTGCTTCAATTGCAAAATTTACTTTCTCTGGGGGAGATATAGTAAAATATTATTTCAGTATTGTAGTAGCTGCCTTTCAACTCCTAGTGATAGTATGGCTTCATTTTCTGTATTTCTGCGTCAGGCTGAGCAATGAGGATTTCGGGACTGCCTGCCTGTTTAGACTGCATTGCTATTCTGCTGTAGTGACTGGCTTTGCAAAAATACTGCTAATATTGATTAACTTATTTTAGCTTTTGAACATGTCTTATTTTAGCTTTAGAACAACAGTGTTATAGTAGCAAATGAACATGATCCATATTAGGTAAGATGTACAGATGCTTTGTTTTCATGTCAACCAAATGCAGATACTCAAGTGAGGTTAAGAGCTCCCTTTGCCTCAGTTCCCGATTCTCCTTCCCTCATAACATAAATCATAAGAAACAAGGTGCACACTGTATACTTAACACTGAGGGGTTTTTGAGATAAAACAGACAAAACCACATAATGATTAATATACAAAATATAAAAATCATATCTATTTAAAGCATATGATAATCAAAGTATAAATTTAAACAGATTAAATAAAAATATTTCTACTATTAAGCATGGTTTCTTTCATCAGAACCATCTAAAGGACCACCCATATGGAGGATCATTGATGCATCTCACTCACCGGCTTCCTGGACTGTGCATCTGATGTGGAAGGTAAAGCAACGTGATAAACTGCAGAAATTGAGCATTCTTTTAAAAACATGAGTTTTTAAGTAGAGAAATGTGCCCCAACAACCTTGAGTAGGGTGGTGGGATGGTACAGGTTTTATTGATATGAGAAGTTACTTTAGTGTTCTTATTATAATAATGAGTTATGAGAAGTTAAAAGTAGAGTTGTAAAGGCCATCAGTTAACTGACACACGGCTATGATCCAGAGTATACACTTTCAGATTCCTGACTTGTCCTTAAGAAGTCTGTGAATTTGGAACTTCCACTAGAACAAAGCAAACCTTCATGTTATGCCTTCTGCTAACCTAAAGCTTTGGTAGCACTCTCTGGACAGTGAAACCCCAGCTGCAAAATCCAGTAAGCCTAGAAATCCTGCGCAGGTCAGGCTTAATAAATACAGCACTCTATGTTTGCATGCAGTAGGCTGCTGCATCCAACTGGATCGTTGGTCCAGCTGAGACAGGGAATGTAATTACGGTCAGTCCCCATCCCCTGCTTTCTTTTGGTCCATAAACTGTGTCCCAGCTGTCTTTTTATTATTAATTCTTCCCTATTGCTAGGTGGATTGTGTGAAGTTACATGTAAATCAATATGGCATCATTTTCTGACACCACTTGTGACAATGCTGATAGGCACATGATCCTGGAGAAGGCCAGGGGTTGGACTTCAATGATCCATGAGGGTCCCTTCCATCTCAGGATATTCTGTGATTCTGCTTCTGACATTATTTAGCTTAGAATGGAAAAATCGCTGCTTCTTTACAGTTTCAACAATTTTCTCTTAATTTTTGTGGAAACTGATAGTGTTACACAGAAACATAGTGTTTTTCTGTAAGTCACTAGGTGAGATTGTGATCCAAGAAAAATAGTATTTAAATGAAAAATAGTTTTAGAATTTACTGTTTTACAGAAATGAACAAGGGTTATTTATGCTTGTCTTAAATACACAGGTATTTGATCTATGTAACTTCTTTTGTTTTCAGAGTTTTAAATTGCGCCTCAAAGACAGTAAGGGATATGTCACGTTAGTTTAATCAAAGATGTGTTTCTGACAGGCATTGAAGCCTCCTGAAGCCAATGGAGTAATCTTGCAGTATGAACTGACTGTCAGAGATAAATCATCTCTCTCCAGTCCACTGAAGAAATTCAATGTTACCAGCACCAACCTTACGTTACAGCTGCCAAATGGAACTTATGAAGTGACTGTGATTGCCCGTAACAGAGTTGGGGCATCTCCTCCATCAGTTTTACTTATCCCAGCAAGTAATTCAAAAGGTTAGTGTCCTGATAATGTCTGTGTTAAATAAATCTGCATGGCTTTTGTTACAAAAAATCTTCAGTGTTGTAAAATTATACCTCTTACATGGACACATAATTAAAGCATTACTGAATGTATCTAGAGTCTCATGTGTTTATAACTGTTCTACCATTTATATACCAGGGAACATGTGGATTTATGTACTCACAGGGTCATTTAAAGCTATGTCTGTGTTTTACTGGGATTTGATCCTTAGAACTGCTGTGCCCTATATTCCCTGTTGTTTTTTTCTTAGCACAGCAGGCATTTTTGTGTCCTTATTAAAAAGAAAAATCAAAGTGTTGCGGAAGCAAGCATTCTTTACTTCATGTATATATAATTTTACCATTGCTCTTCTTTTAACTTCCTGTTCTTCTTCCCACCTCTTTCTGTGCTTTTCCCAGTCTCACTCTCCCACATTTTCAGTATCTTGCCTGGTTACTTTGTCATATGCTTCCACTGTTTCTTTATTGTTCATGTTCCTTTTCATGTTCTTTTTATTATGCAGTAATAACTAGAGGCTGGTTTCTCCTTACTTCCAGCCTTCTCTTTGACAACCCAAACATTACCAAGAGGGGAAGCAAAAAAAAGTTTTACGGGTAGATGCTGCTTTTAGAGTAAACACAAGGGAGAGTCACTGGTTCTAAAACCATTAGATAATTAGTTAAGGGTATGATTCAAATAAAGTAGCATTGCAGACAGAAGTAAGCACTTAGTAAGGTGTAAGCATATAGTGTATATATAAGGTATACAAGTATATAACATATATACTGTATACTTTATATATATTTATACTATATGTAAGATATAAATCTTAGTAAGGTACTTAAGTGTGACTGTTTTATACCCTTTAAATTCCCATTTTAAATTTGATTTCTCTCTGAAATAGACCTTTTCTTTTGGAAGCAAGAAACATAGCGTCTGTGTACATGCAATGGGGCAACTTACTGTGTTGGAGAACAGAGGAGAGGAGTCTAATTTCCGATATTCATATAGCCTAGTGCTGCTTACTTTGGATCTCTGATACAAAGATTCAGGTGTAAACCTCCAAATTTCAGAAAATGGTTTTTACAAAGGTTCTGTCAGTTTGCCGCCATTGCAATAACCCAAAAGTATCAACATGTGACAGAATATCTCTTATTATGAATATCTAGTGGAAGAACTGTCTGTATTGATCACTTTTCTGTTTTCTTTCTTTACAGCTCCTGTGAAGAACCTTAGAACATTGCCTAAATATGACAAGTTGTGGGTAGGGTGGACTGCTCCTAACAGTTATGTTCTTAAATATGTGATTGAATGGTGTCTGGTGTCCAGCCGCTCAGACTGCATCATAGAATGGCAGATTGCTCAAGGAGATGTTCAAGGAATAGACTTAAAAGGTATTCAGCTCATAAGTGTACAGAAGTTTTACAGTGGGATGCTGTAAAAACGTAGTGAGTATTCTCAAGGTGAAGAACATCCTCGTGCTGATTAGAGTTTTGTGGTAGAATGGGAAACTGAGTTAGTGCTGAGAGGGTTTCTTTTAGTTTATCGTAGGTATATTTTTGTCAAACATATAACTGTATCTGATCTTGCATTTGGAAATTTATATCATGTAACAGCAAGGGGTTTTATCTGCATTTTGGTTTTAGTCTTTTCGTTCTTGGAAACCATTGAAATAGTGGACAGGCTTAGTTCCTTCAAAATCAAACTCTCTGATCCTTCTTCAGTTCAAATATTGAAACTTGATCAGCTTTACTGTTCTTTTCAGATTATGATCAGTAACTCAAATCAATAGTTTTGGGAGCTAGTGCTGTAGACAGATGAAGGCTTTTTATGTCAAATAAATTAGAAAAAGACCCCTGACTTCTTTGAAATCTGTTTATTAAATTTAACATTTGAGTGTGAATTCAGTTCCTTTAGTTAATATTTTGGAGCAATATGTCAATGAGCTCTAGAAAATACTCAGCTACTTTAGATAGAAGTGCATCTAATTAAACAGACAAAACTCGGAAGTCTGTTGTATCTGAAGTAAATGAGAAGGATGGTGGGCAATTTGACTGTCTGAATAAACAACACCTTTTAAATTCCTTTCATTAGGTATAAAGCCGTTCAAGTGTTACTTGATAACTGTGTACCCTCTATATGCTGATGGTCAGGGAAGTGGACAGTCTGTGAAGGCTTATCTGAAGCAAGATCGTAAGTACAAAACCATCATCTTGGAGCACATAAACTGACCTTGTTGACAAAAAAATGAGGCCTTTGCTTGAATGTGGACTACGTAGTGAAAAACAGCCTAATACTTCTGACATAATTGATCTAGTCTCTTCTGTTCGTATTCATTCTGCTTATTTACAGTATTTAGGAGTTAAATAGATGTCTGTGGCTGATGCTTTCTGTTTTTCCAGCCTTTATCAGATAATTTGACATGAGTTTATTTTATTGGTATAGTGATATTTATATGCTGATTTCTTTTAAATTTCACGTATAAAACCAAGACGAATTAACTTCAGTTGAAGATTTCATGTGATGTGGTGATTATTCTTTTTCATAACTGTTTTCCTGAAGGTTTCTTTTTTAAAACATCTTTGTAGTTTTTATAGTGTCAGAAAACGGTGCTTTCCAAAAGAGTTAGTCCAACTATTCAATTGAAGTTTTTATGCAGTAGCAATTCAGTGCTCATTGATACACTTGCTTCTGTGGATGCAAGGCTGCCGAACAGGAACTAATCTTCATCTGCCGTTACAGGTCCTTCAAAAGGACCTACTGTTCAGACAAAAAAAGTAGGAAAAGCTGAAGCTGTTTTGACATGGAGCCATCTCCCAGTGGATGAACAAAATGGATTTATCAGAAATTACACCATACTTTACAAAACTATTGATGGAAATGAAACAGGTACCAAAAAACAGAAGTGGTTTGTGGCATTGAAGTGTTTCATCTGTCTCTTTCCTAACATTTGTTTCTGGAAAAAAAAAGATAAAGAATCAAGTGTGGTTGACAGTCTCTTCTGATAACATAAAGCTGATGTCTGGGTCATAGTTCTCCATCTAGAACAGAAATGTCCCTAGCAGAGAATTCAGAACATTCAGTCTGTGTATAGCAGGGTACTGTGTTTAGTTTCTGAAAGCTGATTTGTGGATATTGTGCTCCCATATTTCTGTCTAAATACAGAATGAGATGGTGGTATATCAAGATGATGATAGACCATTCCAAGATATAAAAGGAGTTGACTGCATTTAACTATGATAAAACCTTAAAAAGGGGGATGGGGGGGAGTTTAATTGTCCTTCTGGAGCTATAGATCACTACAGTACTGATATAAATCATTTTGTTTTAAGTACATCTTAGTTTTCAGTAATGTATATAACCTGCAGGCATGAGACAGGCAGCTAGCACTATCAAAATTTCCTTCCTAGATTTGTTTAAATTAGAAGGGCCAAGTACTTATGCATACCCTATGTCTTATTATATTTAACCATGGGGTTTTTTTCTAGTCAGTAACCAACTATTTCTAATTACCTATGTATTTGGCCTACTAGACACCTTTAAGCCTCAGCTTTACTACTAGTTTAGTTTATTGGTGCATTCTGGGGAAAAAATCTCAGAGGAAATGAAACTAAATATAAAATAACATCAAAAAAGACTAATTTAAAACATTTGAACAGAAACAAATGAATCTCAGCATCTCTTGTAGAGGTGTGTAGTCTTTCTGTAGTCTTGTTGTGTTTTCTGTACAACCACACATTCTGCTAAAACTGTCTTGTACATCTGAAATCTTGAATGTCTTAATGCTGCTGGTTTTTTGGACATCTAATAAATGTTACAGAAAACTAGTATAAATTTCTCCCTCTCTTCAGTTGTGACAGTGGATCCTTCCAAAACAGAGTATACCCTTTCCTCTCTAACCAGTGACACACTGTATACTGTGCGGATGATGGCATCCACAGATAATGGAAGCAGGAGTGGTCCTGATTTCACATTTACTACACAAAAATTTGGTAAGGAAGAGTGGCAAGTCTCTTGAATAGCTCTTCTTATGTTGTCAAGCATGCTGATTTCGATGTGTTTTGTGTATACTTTAGGTTATAGTATTGTTTTGCCCGGACTTTTCATGAGTCATTAGGATTTACTCAGTGTTCTTGTCTCTTCTGGTGTCCAGTGGCACCTACCCTGGTCAGAGTCTTTGTTTTAATCTGAAGATAGGTTGGCCTTTATTACCCTGATTCGGGTGTCCTAAGAAGCTACAGACAGGTGTGCTTGGATGTTGATCTGCTGATCTAGGTTCTAGTCAGCATATGCCATTCTTACAGCCCTTCCTCAGGTTCTGCATTCTCCTTCATATTACTATTAAAGTTTGCTACAGTTCTCTGCAGAGACTTATTTTGAATACTTAAATTTGAATAGTTAAATTTATTGTATGTTCAGCTTTAGAGTGCTTCTTATTTGTAATGGTCAGAGCAACATTATTAGTGCAGACTTAAGTGTTTGCAGGCAGAGGTTATTTTCATGTACAGAATAAGCTGATGGATGAGTAGTTACTTTGCTTACATTACTTATTTGACCACGGCTATGTAATGGAAGCCAACAGGCCACTGAAACCCCTGGATGGCAGACAAATGGACATAGACATTACTGTCATACCTGCCCAAACCGCAAAATTATTTGCTCTGTCAGTATTACAACTTCTAGATCAACCCATGTTTTTTGTTGATGCAAGGCATTATATTTTTAGGCCAGAGCTCTTCATGTTTTCACTAATAAATAAGCTCTTTTCCTTCTGAATGTGAAGCTTGAGAATTGAGTGTTGAAGGTGTGTTCAATTTCAGGTTTTCCCTGATCCTCTGCTGAGTTCCTTAAATGTCAAAGTGGGCTATAACTGCTTCTCTTCATCTTCTTCAGGGAAAGGAGAAATAGAAGCCATAGTTGTACCTGTGTGTCTAGCATTCCTGCTGATTGTGCTCCTTGCAGTTCTGTTTTGCTTCAACAAACGTGACTTGTAAGTATAAATGAAGTCTTTCTCTTATACTTCCTATATTTCTGAGCATAACAGAAATGTTAGTTCAATACCAGACAAGTAAGTATTCTGCAGATAGTTCAGAAAAAAAAAATGTAAGCCACGCATACACTGATTGGCATTAAAAACTTTTGTGTTTTCCTTGAGAAATCAGGGCTTCTTCTGATACTGATTTCTTACTGTTAACTGCACACATACACAATGTTCCGTGACTCAATCCTCTAGGTAAATTCCTGCTTTTCTTGCTAGAGTTGGTTAGGATTAGGTTTGTTAGGTTTTGATCGGGGTATACTGTCTGTGTTTTCTCAGTCATCATATGAGTGGAATGATGGTCCCTAGTTTGTGAAGCACAGGAGGTCTATTTGTTAGCTCTATTTGGACTATTTAATTACAGTGTTAACAAATATTAGGCTTTACAGGCAAAAAAAAGTTAGGCAGACATCTCAATCTGCCTTGCATAACCTCAGTCAAATTCTGTGTCTGTTTACTGTCTTCTGGGAAACAACCTGCCTGTTCCCTCACCCAGCTCTTGTCTGTGGCTTTAACCAGAATGGCATTGCTGCAGTGTTTCCCTTGGCAAGGAATAGCACCTCTCTGATGTCACCAGTCAACTTCCTTTCTTTCTAATTGAAGACAGCATTTTATGTCCTTTTCTTTCTGACATCCCTGCTGCTCCTAAAATCAGTCTTATTGGACATTAGTTGAAAAGCACATCTTGCAATGTTCTTCATAGTTGTCCTGGAGAGGATCTGTTGTTGGAGCCTATTTATAAAGAGCAGGATAGGTGCATCAGGTTCAAAGTTGTTTTTTCTGGGGGGGATGTATGAACAGAAACTTCTGTTGTTAAGTGACAGTACTTTCTTAAACTTGAAAGTTACAAAGCAAGTTTTTCTTCAGTATTTTCACTTCACTTTTAACTGTGAAGTTATCTTAGAATTTGACCTGTGATGTTCATAGTTATCTTAATGAATCAAGAATGTATTTTTATACTGATGTGCATCATAGACTCTACCTAAGTAATTTTTCTGTAGATTCTGGAGTGCTATAAATTTGAAAATCCCTTGCTGACTGTTACCATTTGTTGTTTTGCCTTATGTTGGATGGCTGCATCTGTGTGGAGGAATTAAATGCAGTGTTACGTTTTGCTGAGTAGTATGACTTCATACAAGGAAGTAAAGTATCATAGGAAGCATTCCTATTTGGAAATTAATATTCTTGCAAAATTGCTGTGTAAAGGAGTGGTGTCCTGGATTATGCTGTACTTGCTATGAAAATGGGAATTTGGGGAGTGCATCTTGTAACTTTTCTGGTTTTTAATCCTTTGCAGAATTAAAAAGCATATCTGGCCTATAGTACCTGATCCATCCAAGAGTAACATTGCTCAGTGGTCTCCTCAAGTTCCAGCTAAGGTAGTACTCACCTTTCTGCATTCAGTATATTCCTAGTTTGCAAGGTATCAGATAAACTAACCAATGGGAGTTTTCTGTCTTCTAGCACACATGGATTTCAAGGAAAATCCTGGATGTTAAGTTTCATTGACATTGTGATACAATATGGTTAGAAGACTTATTGCATCAGTAGATTCAGCATTAGAAATACATTGTGAATTAAATTCAGTTTACTAGTTGGAAGGGCCAAGTCCTAATTTACTTAATCAGGATTAACTAAACAATTCATGATTCCCATTCTTAAAACCCTAGAGTGACTTGCTTGCACAGTTCACTCATGAGTGAGAGTGAAAACTCCAAAGAGTTTCTCATGGATGAGAAGATAGCAGCAACATTTATGCCCTGTGAATGAGATAGCAAATTCTATTCAACAAATTTTGGCTAATTTCTGTGAAGAAGTGCTGTGATGTTGAATACATTATTTGAAGTAATGTATGGTTCTCAATATAGAATGTTCTGTGCTGTATAGCAAATGGTTCTATGCTTACAGCTCTTCAGGATAATTAAATGAGAGCAAAGCTTACCCACACATCCACTATGATTTTAAAGTAGCAGCATAATTAAGACTTTGCATTGGGAACAAGACTGTCCTTTATCATTTAACAGATACTTTGGAGATATTGCCAGATTTAGTAAAGATAAAACTTATATGAAGAGATTGAAAGCCATTAGACAATAAAAATTCAGATATTTAATGAGGCTGTTGATTTTTTAACATGACCTTCCTCTTAGGCAACATACATCTTTCTTTCAGCATAACTTTAGTTCCAAAGATCAGATGTACCCAGAAGGCAGCTTTACAGATGTAAGCGTCGTAGAAATAGAAGCTGATGACAAGAAGTCTTTTTCAGAACAAGATTTAAAACCCTTTGACTTACTTAAAAAAGAAAAAAGTACTTCAGAAGGGCACAGCAGTGGTATTGGAGGATCCTCCTGTATGTCTTCTCCTAGGCAAAGCGTCTCTGACAGCGATGATGGTGAAACGGCACAAAACACTTCAAGCACTGTACAGTATTCGACTGTAGTTCTTAATGGCTACAGAGATCAAACTCCTGTACAAGTCTTTTCAAGGTCTGAGTCAACTCAGCCACTGCTTGATTCAGAAGAGAGGTCAGAGGATCGCGCTGGAGGAGATGACAGTCCAGCACAGAGGCAGCAGTATTTCAGACAAAATGGTGGTCAGGATGAAACCAACAGAGACAGACCATGCTTTGACAGAACAAAGCAAATTACTCATGCTAATGAGGGGGATCTTGTTGGATTTGTACAACTGCAGATCTCAGGTCAGAGTTCACAGCCATTGGGCCTTGGGATGGAAAAAAATAACCAGGAAGCTGCTCTATCAAATGTTTTTCAGGCAAGTACTGAAGGACAAACTGTGAGACCTGAAACAGTGGAAGAAAATCCCCTGTCAATTGATGAAATGCCAAAAAGTTACCTTCCACAGACTGTGAGACAAGGGGGCTATATGCCTCAGTGAGAGAAGAGACTGGCTCTGTTTAGGCCTTCATTAGTGCCTGTTCACATTTTCCCCTGTGTTTCTGATAAATTAAGCTAGGTATTTTTATCTGAATGCAGATAGAAATATTGAAATTAAGATTAATTTGACAAAGTACAATAAGGACTGTGTTTTTGTGGAAAATTTGCAGTCCAGACCTACTGGAGACTTACTTTTATGCACTACATAAAATCTTATTTCTAGATAGCTGAACAAGCCTTTGTGCTATACTGGGGGTTTTGTGTCTTTTCATACCAGAATTTCACATGAATGAAAAGGGCAAGTTTTAATTAATCACATCAGCCAATAGAAGAAGTACTTCACCTCCTAGAAGAAGTACTTTGATTTGTGACAGTGCACAAGCCTAAAAAGCCAACTCTAGTTGTGCAGAGCACCTTTGTGCACCAGTAAGACCTAAGCTTAGTATTCTGACATGGAATACTTGTGTCATATACTTTTCAATAACTTGTTTGACTTACTGAATTTTGACTTGGCCCAGTGCCTTAATTTTCAGCTTACCAGACATTCAAATCATGTTCATCCCTGTTTAAAAATTATAAAAATTAAATATAACTTGTGGTGTGCAAAGAGGAAAACAACAAGATTGCTTGAATCTGAATGCTACTACTATTAACTGATATTTTATCTACATTTAGATGTGTATACAAATTAACTATATAATAATTTGGCCTAAAAAATGTGCCTTGCAACTTGATGCATGGCAATTCAGTCTCATGTTCAGAAATTTAAAAATCAGGTGACAACACCGATTAACAGTTACTTAAATCATTTTGTATCCCAATCACTGTCTGATTCTACAATATCTCTTTCATCATGTCTTTGTTTAATAAATGCACCTTTGCTGTATACAGCTTGAGAGGCAAGTAACAAGCTTTTACCATTTTTCTAATACCTCAGGAGAAAGGGAATATGACCTTTTTCCTGATTGACTACAACTATTAGTGTGCTGTAGCCTCACTGCTAATACTGCGGGACCTTCTTGAAACTGAAGGCAGCCAAAGCATTAAAATCATTGACTCTTTTGAAACTAAAACCAAAACCTGATTTTGAGCTTTGGTAGAATGTATCTATTAGCAATCACAAGCCACAAATAACACTTAGGGGGTTGTTAAAATTCCTTACTTTTTTCTTAATGTCTCACTTTTTTGCTGCTCAAATGGTTTTCAGTTTTTGAAAAAGCTGCATTTCTTGCAAACTGTCTTCACCAGTATAAAGAAAAATTAAATTACGTGACAATAAACCCCTTTTCCAGTGATAATCAGAAATTGTATGGCACTCCTGAAGATTTTTTTGAATTATTTTTAAGCCTAACTTAGACTAGTCAGCTTTCTAATCTGACACTAATAAAACTGTATTCCAAAACACTAAATGCTGTGTTGTGAGAATAAAACAAATGTTTTATTTCTCCTTCAGCAAAAGAACCATATATTTAAGACCACCTGAAACCTTTTGTGCTGTGACCTCTGGTACTGCTGTTCTGCAGAGCACTTGCTAAAGGCCCTGGAAAGGCATGTGTCAGTATCATTTCATCTTCTCTTGTTCTTGTCTGACAGCTTGCATGGAAGGGTGGGTGTACATATAAATGTCCATGTGTCTTTTGCTTCTGTTACAAAGAAATTCAGTGCAAGAGTAAATTCATAAGATTATCTCTTTAAGACTGGTATATTTAAAACAGATAAAGAATACAGAACCTTTAACGTTTCAGTATTCCACAGTTCCTTTCTCCTGACAGTATTTTTCTGTATCTGGGCACTTTTTTTTAAACTAAAAGGCTATGTTGCAGCTTACTGTAATTATACCTTTCATCAGAATAGTCCCCTTCCTTTTCACCCCACTGCACCTCAGCACCTTCAAACTCCCTCACAAAGGGCAAAGGTATAATGAAAACTCTGCTGTCATGAGGCAGCAGAGACCATCCTCCATTTTTTAAGAGGTTTAAGGAGCATTTCTTTGTCAGAACATGTTCCTCTTGGAAAGAAATACCAGTTACTTTAGTGGGGGATGGGTTGTCTTTTCTATGCAAACTTTACAGTGACTGTAGAAACCACAGGTAAAAGGGAAAGTCTCTGTTGAGCAGTGTGTGTGCTTATTAGAACTGCCCAGGAGCCACAGCCATTTAATCCATCTTCTCATTTCTGAAATATTGTAGGCCACAACCTGGCTGTGTTGCCTAAACATTGCTTCAAAGGTCTGAATGTTTTCAAAAACGTGCTCATGATTTTTTTAATTGTTTTTGTGATCCAAGGATGCTAGATTTTGATAGCATTTGTTATTTGAGGGAGAATGTCAGTTATTCCTTAAGTTGCTAGTTGCCTTTCTGTTAAAGGGGAAGGCATTTTATCCTCAGTTGCTGTTAATTGTGGACCATTGCTAATGTTAGAGCATCAAGAGATTCTCATTTTTAAAAGTCTGTGCTAACAAGAGTTCTGGCCTGTCAGTTCTAGTATTTTTCTTTGATGTTTGTGGGCCAGTGGTAATAAACTAAGAATTGTGCAGGAGTGGATCCTAGAGAGAGTTCTGGCTGGCAGTTATATGCTCTGACTTGAGCTTGTGCATTTATCTAGGGCTAAAATACTAAAGACTAAGCAGGAGATCCTGGTGAGTGAACAGCTTTGAGAAGCCACAATACATATAAATAACAGGTTTACAGCTAGTTCATAAACCTATGTGCCAAATATATCACGCAATGTTCAGGGTTTAACTTGATTTTGTACTTCAGACTGTAAAAATCTAATTGTATCAAAGAATTGGATACAGATTTTTAAGAATATCTGTAGCATAACTATAGCAATCAACTGAAATTTTCTGAAACTTGGGCCTAACATAGTAATTAAAAAGTTTTCTCCTCCTCTGACTAACGGCTGCGGTGTACTTTACACAATAAAGGCATTATTAAAGTAAAAATCACACTTCAGTGTAGACACTTTTATCCATCTTGACATGCAGGCTGGCTAAGGCTCCCCTGTTTACAAGGGAGTAAGTAGTTCTGTTGTGGTGGTTCTTTTAGACCAGAAGGTGATTGGTGTTGTTTCTGGACCGTGTTGGTCCACTTTCAGGGCAGTTGGTCTAGAAATATCCACTCCCACTGTAGTGAAAGTCTTGGGAGTGTTTCATACACCCTAGAGTAGAAAACTACGCTGCCTGTTAGGCCTTAACATGGCAGCACAAAGCACAGCAGAGCAGAAATTTTTCTAAACTTTGTTCTGGAGAGCTTTGTGTCAAGTATGGGCTAGGTTGTACTACAGGAGCCTAGCAAAAGCTGGAAGAAACTTTGGCCCTGGGAGGATGAGGGAGTTTGCATGCAAAGGCTGAGACCTGTTCTTGGGTACTGGAGAAGCCCCATGACCTCAGGTGGGGTGTGGAGCTTCAGCTCTGACTGTAAATCATGAGCATTGCCAGGCGATTAAAACTTACATTTAGTATGCCCAGTATGTAGGAATCACATGCTGATTTAAATTCAGTAACTGAGTTTGTTTAATTAGTGCCAGGTCTTGAATATCCAAGACCCACATCAGTATTTGCTGCTATGCTATAGACTTCTTAGTGGGATCTGAAACTCCAAAGACTGTCAGAATGTTAGTAGCCTGCCCCACTCGAGGATATACACGTTTTACACTGTATTTTATGTGCATTAAATGGGACTAAATACACTAGTTTATTTCCCCTTATTAGACAGTGGTTGTGACTGAGATTAACTGTTATTTGGACACATTCCTTTAAGTGTGTTTAAAAGTTCTCTTGACTGATCAACTGTAAAACTTCATTAATCCTTGTAACCTCTTGTCTGTCTGCAAGGATGGATACATATAGCCATTTTAAATTCCCGAAGTTGCTTTTAGGGTTATTCAGAAAAAGTTTATGTGAAAAATATTGAGTCTTTTGTCATGAAACAGCTGTTAGGGAGTGAAGGCCAAGCTCAGAGTCTCCAGCTTTGCTGTTGATCCAGAAAACTGCAGTAAAGTGGAGGTATAAGTGCAAAAGCCTGGAGAAGTTTGGAATTAAATATCTTGAATTGGACTCACAAATTCCCATTTCTCTTCCTTTAAAGTGAAAACATCAGTTAAAAAAAAAAAAAAAGCTGAAATGCATGTATATTCGCTATCACTGTTGTTTCCTTTGTAGTACTTGTGCAATCTGAGCCATTCCTGAAAATGAAAGCAGTGCTGACTTCATGCACAAGGATGCATTTCTAAGGCCACCAGATTTGATAAAACAAACTTAAAAATAATGACAAAGAGCTGGATTTCAACAATTATCCACTTCCCCCCCCCTTAACTGTAGTGCAGAGAGAGGGTGGGCAGCAAGTACCTCCCAGAATGCAGCCTTAGCTAGTACTTGTATTTATTTGCAAAGACAACCTTGAAGGGGATATATGCAATAACGTCATTGCTACTCTGCAGAAGCACACTTCTGTAACAATAGATGAAAAACACTTATGGCACAACTGTTGACTGATAGCTGGAAAGCTCCACATCCTCCTGCTCAGCCTAAAGTGTCAGCTGTTCTCCGGTGATCACGGCTGTGATAGATGAGCATTCTTCTGCAGTGTTGAAACTGGTAACACCTATCACTTTTTGTCATCAAAGCACATTTGTTAATGGATCCAGTCAACTTGCCGTGTTTTTTTTAACACACCAGTTTTGTTTACAGTGTCACATATAGCCTGACACTTTGATACAGCCAGGGATGTCTGGTAACCAATTGCTTTTATTTGGGGATAAGGAGTTACTGGTCACCCAATATGCTGTGCCAATATATGCATCTAGGTAAGCAGAGGTGTGCGACACAGGAACAGATACACCAACAAGGAAAGTGCCTTGATGCTGGATTGGATGGCTAGTGAATGGTGAATGTAAACGTTAAGTTAAATTTTACTATGTACTTTAAGTATGGCTGATTAAGCTAGTGGTAATTTGAATGCCAGCTTTAAAGGGCTTGCGTACTCCAGCCAGAGGTTAAACTTGTAAATTGCTGCATAAGCTGTCTCTGTATGGAAATGTGTTTTAATACTAGTTCACTGTCTTTGTTCTTTTGCAAGCTGCATGCATATTGTCATATAAAATCTGCTTTTTACAATTTATTTTATGGTCAGTTTTGAGTGTCTTCTTCTTTGTTACCTGACTGAGCCTGAATATTGCATTTCTGTAGTACATAATACACAGAAAGAAAACAAAACAAAATTCCATACGTACCTTGTGTCCTGGAGTCAGTGTTTTGTGAGGCTGACTTAAATAGTAACCAAGAAAGGAGAAGAGTCTGGGTCACTACCTCATAGGCATGAGAGACATGACCATGAGATACCACGATAAAAGGCTACCCCCCACATGTGGGCGTGTTCATCAGCAGGCGAATAGCCTTTAGTCCTGCCTTTGCAATTGCTCCTGGAAATAGAAGTATTGCTGTCTACCCTCACAGACTCATTTCCAAGAAAGGCGTGACAGAGCTTGTCTGTGACAGCTCTGTGTGACATTGCTCTCAGTACTAAAAAAGCAGAGGTGGACCTTCAAAGGCTGGTCAACTTCCCAAAAGGCTTCAAGGTGGGGGCAGCTGGGGAAAGACAGCATCCCATTCCTGGCTGAAACTCTCATTTGAACAGACTCGGACCTGTGTGACACTGAGGGAGCGTGGGGATGGGGGTGTTATGTGTCACCAGAGACGATTGCTGCCACAGAAGAGCCAGCTGAGGCACATCATGTGCCTCAGCGCTTTGGTGGTATTAGGCACAAATAAAACACTAGACTCCTTTTCCAAAATGTTAGTTTAGAGCACAGTAGTTCACTTACCACTGTTTCACATAAGGCCCCTCAAGCTTCTACAGAGACAGCATTTTTTGTGTGTCCTCCTCCCCTGCACTCAGCTGATTGAGCATTAGTGTGGTTGTGGTTCACAACTGCAGGACAAAGTGTGCACAGAAGAGGAGGCAGCAGCTGTGTCTTTTACAGACTTCTTCCTTGCTGCCAGACCAATACTGAAAACACATACTTGTGCAGTGTACACATTAGAATGCCAGAAGCAGCCCAGTTCCTGGAAACAGTTCTCCACTCTCCATGGCAGAGGTCAGCAGAGTCTGCTGTGGAGGAGCAGGGGATGTGCCTAACCCTGAGCTAGCCTTGGAGTAGCCTGGGTTTGTCCAGCCAGGATGGTCACTGAGAGCAACACAGCACAACAGCCTCAGGATGGTGCACAGGAGCCCTGCCAACCCACACTTACAGGGCGATGTGGTGGGAGGGTGGCTGGGGGATTACTGCTTCGTCCTGACCACTGACAATCACAGTCACATGGAATCTCTCTGCAAAAGCATCTTCTGTGCATTTTCCAGACATTTGTGATGTTAGTGGCAAAGTGATCCAATGCCTTTCTGACTTCCCAGCAGTCTCCATCTACTATGAAATAACTAGCAGAGCCAAAATATTCCTCCCACTCCCTACAAAATAGCTAGGAAATTCCTGGCGCAGCCAGAGAGGGCTCTGAGCACTGATGACTCAACTGGGAGATGCAGGATGACTTTCAAAGCCAGTTAATCTGACTCCAGGCTCGCCTGGAAAATGAAAACATGCTGTGCACTGGGGTAGCAGGCATCACCCTGGTTTTCCTTTTACGATAACGCCTGAGTCACGCAGTGAGATTGGGCAGGAAGCTGGGTCAGGGGCCAGCAGAAGGTTTCAGTAAGGGGACAGCTCTGCAGGAGCCACCCACTCAGCTCCAGCAGCACTCAACCAGTCCTCAGGTACCACCAGCACAGCCCATTACTGAGTGCACAGTGACATGGGGCAGGTTCTGAGCACCAGAATCCCAAGTAAAGCTCCTCAGAGAATGCTCTTCAGGGCTGCAAGTGCCTGGCACACTCATTATTGCCAGGATGCAGCCAAGCAGCAGACACAAGCCAGCATCGTTAACTGGGGCCAGTGAGAGAGCACTGTGGTATTGGGACAGTGGACTGGAGTCTGGACTGGAGCCTGGGCATCTCCTGGGAACCAGGCACGCTACAGATCCACTGCTTTCAGGAGCACAGTGCGGCCCCAAGTCTGGCCTCTCAGGGCATTTCTGGGGGGTGGACCAGCTAGGCCCCAGCACTCCACAGCCTGTTCAAGCCTCCAGGACCATGCCAAGAGATGGCAGCACATGTTTCTTGTAATAGTCAGACAGACTGACTGCTCCAGTAACTGTGGTTTTTTTAATATTTATTTTCTGACAGTTTAGCAATTCCCCTTGGCTATTCTTCTTCCTCTCCATTTGTCAGCAAAAGCTGTTATGTTCTTCCATCACATGCATTCCTGAGTGGGATAATAAGTCCCGGCCAAATGGGTAGGCTTAGCACCTGCCTGCTGCCAGGCAGGTCACAATTCCACAGCCCACTTGGCACACCATCCCCTTGGATGGGGCCACACAATAGCCAATCCACATGAAACAGGCCCAGATTACTGTCTCCTTGTCCCCGTGGGCTGATGAATATGCTGGGGTTCGCTGACAGGAAGGCTGTTCTCATGCACTTCTACAGCTTGAATCACCGCCCTGCTCTGCCTAGATAAGTAATCACCACTGACCCAAGCAATTGGCAAAAAGCATGGAACTCATGAAGACTATTTCTGGATCAGACCTGTGGCAGTAAAACTCTTCCTGCTTGAACAGAAACAGCTTTTTCCTGTGCTTGGAGGAGATGCATCATTGGTGAAAGAACATGTGCCTGGCTACATGTGCACCAAAGAGCCATGGGGACCACCCCTCTGTGCACATTGCCTCTCTTCACCACCACTGCAGGACTCTGCTGTGGATGAGGCAAGGGTGCTGTTTTGGTACTAAGACAAACTTCCCTAAATGGTGTCACTGTAATAATCTTTAAAGCACATTCTGGTCACACTTTATTATGGATTACATGAAGCTTCCCGTGTTCAGGCAGACACCTGAAGAGGCTGCCTCTTCCCTTCCCCACCTTGTTCTCCCAGACACAAGTACTTGCTGATAGCAAGCACAAAAGCAGATGCCTCGAGAGCCTGCTCAGGACATGGCTCTTTCAGCATGTAGCCATTATGCTCCATTTGCTGCATGTGTTTTTACTCCTCTGTTTGCTGGATATCTTCCTGAAACTATTAACATTCCTGCATGTGTCAGAAAGCCTTTCCATTTTATTTAAATTAATTTCATTTAGATAGGTAATGCACCTGTAAATAAAAGCAAATTGAATCATTACATGAGTATCAGCCTTTAAAATTAGCCTAAATCCATCTCTTCACTGCTTTAACCATTGACTTTCTTTTTTCCCCTCTATGTGGGCAATTTCCCCTCTATAAGGGCACAAAGAACACAGAGATATGACAGGTTATGCACTATGGAAAATTTGCCTATGAGAAGGCACTCACTTATATCAAAAAGCTTGACAAATTCCTGCTCAAAGAATTCAAAGTTCTGGGTAGTTAAAGGTAAACTCAGATTAAAAAAGACTGAATTTTTAATGTAATTAAAAATCTGTTAAGTTCAAAACATGACCTACTAATAATTTATGGGACATAAGCCTTCAGGTCAGAAAGGAATTTCCAGTATGATACACAGAAGAATGACAATTCTGAAGATGCATCAATATATTCTTAAAATTACGCCACAGTCTGATCTCTATTAACCTTGCAAAGACCCATACACTGAAGAGTCATTTTCTATATTTTAAGGAGGGGTAAAAATGAGCATTTTCCAGATCAGTGATGGTGAGATGAAATGAAATTTAATAAAAAATGCTCTCTAGCAATAATAGCACCAGGTGTTGTATCAAAATATGCACAAAAAATGCTAAAGTACTGTAATTTCCAACCAACTGCCACTTGGTATTATAAAAGTGGAATAATTGTTCAAATAGTCAAACTACTCAAATACTATTGTAAATCCCTCTCAAAGTAGGAACACATTTCTAAATGAACATGAAAATCTAAAATGTCTAAATGGTGTATTTAGTATAAATCAATAAAAAACTTTTCTGTGTTCTCTCAGTTTTATTTTTTTAATGAGTCACAGCATTAGTTTGAAGGACAAATTGTAAAAGGACAGGAAGAGTACAACTCCCAATGCAAAACAAACCAAGTACAAGAAGTTGGCATTTCAAAGCGTGTGCAAAATGCAGCCTTAATTTCTGGAATGTACTGAGCCCAGTTACTTGCATTTTGCTTTTTCGGGGAAAATAATGGGCAAGGAAAACAGAAAAATGAGGATAGAAAATCAGAATATCAATACAGAAGGAAATAAAATGGGACAGAAAATCAGGTTATACTTAGCCTCCAAAAGCTAAGAGATGTTACAAATTGGACTATTTTTAATTTTTACCTGTCTCGATCTCAACACAGAGTATGCAGCTTTCATATGGCTGCTAAAAAATTCCTAGACAGCTCTGAAATGTCTCTGCATCTGTTTATTTTTATATCTTGTGATATTAAAACAATACTGAGATTTAAGCGAAAAAAAATTCTGTGATTGAGTCAGTGAGTTCTGAACCCTAGGAACAGCAATGTAGTTCTGAGTGAGAAGCGTGGAAGTAAGGGAAACAGCAGAAGCAGCACTGACCTAACCAAGGCTGTGTCCCATGCTAATTTCAGAGCATGACCTACCTAAGTGAGCAAAGGCTTATAAGAACAAACATACATGCAGTATGGTTTATAGAACTATAGTTGAGAAAGTGACCCAACAAACATGAGAGGTGGAAAACTGTGATGCTAAACAGGGAACATTTGCAGAAATTGTCTTCTTATCATTCCTTGAAAACTACAAATATCACTGTAAGTAAAAGCAGCTTCCAAACTATAGACAAAAATCCTGAATGCAAACTTTACCCTGTCTTCCACAACACAATGCAAGTAATAGCCAATACATCCAGAGAAAGGCTCAGTCTTCTCATTCATGCTAGACAATATATTTTCCATTCTCCCACTTCTCTTCCTGCACAGAAAGGAAAGGCTTTCTACTTCTATTCACATCTGTTTCTTGTTTTTCTATCCCCATAACTCCTGTATCTTTTTTTTTATCCCAAACAAAGTCTGTAGTTATGTGCAAACAAGACTGATGACAACAAGCCTTTAAACACTGTAAAAATACTTTGAAGTATTAAAATGACCATATGTCACATGTGTCATAATGAAGACCAATTTACTTAGACTCTCCATCCTTTTCAATCTGTTATTTAACAGAGTAAATATTTCAGTAAGAATTTTACAGTAATGGCCTCTTTCCTGCCAAAAAAAAAAAATTAGTGTGATTGTTTCCCTCTTAATTGTCGCTTTATAAAATGGAAACCACAAGTAGTTTTACGATTTATCAAAATCATAAAACAAATTACAAAATTTATAGCCTTCATGTAGAAATATCTAATCCTAAATCATCTACCAGAGGATATATGGTGATATTTTGTAGACTTAGTGTTTTTTTCATAACTCTCAGAAAAATAACTTCCTAACTTAGTGCTTATTCCAACACAAGATGCCATACTTAGTTTTTTTAGTTTTTTTTTTAGTTGAAAATATCAGAGAAACAGATTTAAACTGCAAGAAATCAGAGGCAAAGGAATAAAAAGATAAGAAGTTATCCTTCAGTAAATAGTTTTTAAAATCAGGAAACAATTAGAAGAGACAAAAGCAGCACAAAATGCAGAGGATGACTAAAAACATGAGAGAAAGGAAAGGAGCTACATAGACAGCATAACCGTATCTTTTCTAAAATGCAGATAACATACAAATATACTCTCATTAAAGACAAAGAAAATATAAGCCAAACCACTGATTCAAGAGTCAAGATACAAAACAACAACTACTGAAATCTACAAGGTATTTGTGATACAAAAGGAACACTATACATAAAACCATATATAAAACAGTCAAGGAAAGTAAGAACAGGACGGTAGTTTTATTTCGTGTAACTGAAGTAAGAATTCGTCAGATTCTGGTTCTATTCAAGTCAGTCCATGTTTCCCCAGTAGAGCTGAGCCTTGGGAACTGGCTGCCTGGGGGGGAAATCAATGAGCTGTTTGCATTACTGGATCCTCTTGCAGCAAATACAAGTTTGTTTTAGCAGGCTGATTATGGGAGAACTAAGAAGAAATAACAACAGTTATTTCTTTTGCCTCAGTACTGGCATGTCTGGTAAAAACCCACAAACAAAACAACCCCCCCTAAAACACCCAAAAACAAAACAAAACAAAACAAAGCAAAACACAACAACAAAAAAAACCACAAAAAAAGCCAAACGAAAAAACCCCAGAAGTGAACCCTGACACATATAAACACGGTGCAAAGAACAACTTCACAGCTGTTTGAAGGAAGAGGGTGTTTCCATCCAAATTAACTGAGACCAGACAGGTTAAAACATAGGAATGCACATGAGCAGCAGTGCCAAGAGTTTTTTCACAGGGGGATTTTACAACGGAAAATCTTCCCACGCTACTGAGCAGTGGCCGGCTCGAACATGTCCAGTGTTATGTAGGGTTGTCCTGCAACATCTTGTTGAAAAGGAGGTAAGACACTTGACTGGCTTTTGTGTTCATCCATATTGTGCTCTGGCAAGCTCTCAGAAATAAGAAATTCCCTTGTTTTAACAGAATTTTTAAGGTATGGATTGAACAGTGTTTTTTCATTGAAATCTTCCACCTTTAAAACTTCATCATCATTTTCTTCATTTTTGATTGAATTCTGTTGGGATCCACACAAATCATCTGCCAGCATTTCCATGGGTTGGATTTCCTTCACTAGTATCAAAGTTGACTTCATTTGGCTTCTGGTAAATTGATCAGTGATCACATAAGGCATGGATGGCAAAAAACATTTAGCAACATCATTTTCTTGTTTATGCAGTATCTTTTTATCTCCATTGATCATGTCTTCTGCATTAATATCAATACATTCAGAAACATGGTTTTCTTCAGGAAAACAATATTCCAAAACATTTATGTCTTCAAAGTCTACAGTTTTAGCCTCAGATGCCAACTTCTTCAAAAGTGAATTATTCTGTCAGTACCAAGAGATAAATTGGAGAGTTACATACAGATAGATAACATATTAGTTTGGTTTTTTAAAGATAAATTATTGCCATTTGAGCTCTATTTGACTCATAATTTTAGAAGTGCACTAATAAAGAGTTCATGTGCATTTCAGCAGGGATGCAGTTATATGTGAATGAGTACTAAAAATGACAATGTTATTCTGTTCATTTGTTAAACAGTTTCATAGTAGGTCTTCTGTGCTTAATGAAACAAGAAGTTCCCATGAAAGCTCAGAATCAGGTTTGGACTGTGTCCATCTTTTCTACTCTAACCAGTCACTTATGGGGGAAAAAACTTTAAATCTCATTCTCCACAGATTACACTTTCTACGTAAAACTAATCAACTCCACTTCATTCAAATACACATCAAAACTTTAATAAGGCATAAATATTCAACAAATAAAAAGACAGAAATATTAGTACAATAATATGCCAAATCTTACTACATGTGGCAATACATTTTTATAGAGAATGGAGGACTTATCCAAATGTGGGAACCTGATTCAGTAGATGCAAAAACCTGTGTAAATTGAATTGACTATATTAAATCAACCATGTCTGCCAACCACTCAGGAACTTCAAAACATTATTTCTCGTTATCACATGAGAATTAAAAGAATATACTTTATGAAGATGCATGTTCTCTGTTATGAAGAGTATTTTGTAGCACTTAAAAAGAAGAATGAAACTCTATATACTTTTTTTAAAAGTTATAAAATTACTGTCAGAGAAGGACTTCTTTTCTCTCCATTTGATTCCTTCTTTAATACATAAGATTGCAATTATTACCATAGAAGTAGCAAGAGGCCATTCCACTGCAATGCTCTCTGCAGGATTTGGTATATCAGGCCAGCAAACCTTCTTAAACCTATCATTGAGACAGTAATTTTAGTCAAATTATGACAGAAATAGATTATTAAAAATAAAATTAACAAACCTCCGGAAGGTCCACATATTGCTAAAATACCAAATTTTCACAAAGGAGGTCTTTTCCATATTAACACAGCCTTTTTTCAATGAAATTGTTTTCCCATGCACTGACTTTTATTACAAAAGATCTCAACAAGACCTTTTGGGTTACAGAGACATTGTAGAAAAATTAATAACTCACAAAAGTAATTTTAAATTACATTATATATTTTCTATGTATATACTTATGTATCTATTTTTTATATTTCTTATAATATACTATATTATAATATATGAAATAATAGCATGTCAAAATAAGGCTGTATACAAAATCTGTTGTGATCATGTTTCAGGGTGTTTCTTCAGTGAAAAGCCACTTCAGGTAAACTTGGCCCAAGGAAAGTATCCCAAGCACTACACCACACGAGAGCTAAGCTGGGTTCCAATGTTAGCAGCAGATAAATGATGCTCACTCATTGAATCACTCTTTGATACTGGGTATATATGTAAGGGAATGAAAAACAGTCCAAAGCTTGACTTTTCACATTGTAATTTGATTACACAAGAATATAAACACTCAACTGCATCTCAAACATTGTCCAGAAACAAAATATAGTTTCTTATTATTGCAAAAATACAGAATCCACAACACAGAAGAAGATGTAAAAGAGCTGGAAATTACACTTATTTATTCAGCCATACTTATCACCTGATGCTTCGCTAGACAACCATATTAGTTCTAATAGTTTAGAACACCCCAAAGCAGTTAAGATTTTTAACCTTCTCATTAAGCTTCAGCCAAACGACCCAGTCACTTTCATGTGAAAGAAAAACATATTTTATAACCTCAAAAAACCCCTCAGATTCATTGTTATGATGTTATTACATCCCCATGCTCTGAGAAAGCAATTTCAAATCTGGCAGGGGACACCTGTGACAGCAGATTATGAATTACATACAGATACAGATCCATACTCATGGATCAAGCATCCAAATGCTTTCACACAAAGCATGACTTTTTTACAGCTCAAGGGAAGCATCATGAAGTAACAAAAGCAATATTATTATAGCTAAGATAAGCAATTATATGAAATATGTTCTAGTGCCGTACTAGCAGATATATTTCCTACATGCCTAGGAAACTTTGTTCTTGGCATTATTAATTTTTCAGTAACTGACTTTAGGTATGCTCCCTTCAACTGACTAACAATAGAACTGCAAATGGCATATAGCATTTTCCACAGAATTATATAGGTGACAAATAAATCTGTTTCTCCTATTTATTTTGTTCTAATTTACTGAACTTTCTAAAATTAGTACTTGTTTTTGGACTAGAGCACATAAACTGCAGTTAAAGTATAACCTAGATGCTTATTTATTTGCTACTCTAATTGCTTATTTTCTTAATTTGACATTGGTTTTGAGCCCAACAGAAGTATTTATAAGATATATAAAAATTTGCCTTTTACAAGGTAGAATTAACAGGCTGAATTTGGTTTTAGACAGTAGAAAATGTACTTACACATGTTTTTTCAAAACGCATGTTACCCAAAGGCCTAACAGACAGAACACGCTTATTCCAACAAGTAGAGCAATTAAAATAATATCTTCTTTATCTTTAGAGGAAAAAACACACAAACAGAAAAAACAAAACAACAATCAGCCCACAGATGTCTGTCATTTCTTCATGTATTCCTTGAAGATAGCTAATTTTCAACATCCAAGTCACCTAATTAGCACATTTCTAAAGAGCCAAAATTACTCAGAATACTGTATGGTGTGCATTGTATGATATGTCAAAAGATGAGTATTCTGAATCCAACAAGCCATAGTTACTCAGCCAGAAAACCAGGTCACAATGAGACTTCTCAGGATTTCTCAGGAACACATGTATTGTATTTTAAAATTTCCTTTATTTAATAGAATTGGACAGTAATTTAGATGGGAGGGGACATCTGTAGGTCACCTCATCCAACTTTAAAATTAGAATCAAACTGCCTAGGGCCATACAAAGCCAACTTTTGAAAGCAACCTAAGATGAGGACTCTATCACTGCTTTGGGCACCTGTTCTTTTACAGTCACCCCACACTGACACATAGTGCCACTTCTATCAGTTACAACAAAATAAATAGCAAGTTAAGTCCAGGAGATAGATTTTAAATCACAAAAAATACAGTTACTCTGACTGAAACACTGCACAGATTTCTGAGATAGCTTCCAAGTACTAGAGGCAGGTACTGACAGCAAGAGACCTTACCTCAGCACAGTCTAACGTACCTTGTATTTGACTAGCAATCAGCAGAATAATTTACAGGTAAAAAATGAATTAGCTTTGAGTCCCATGACTAGTTTAGGAATAGCTCATGCACTTTTTTAAATTTCAATTTGGCCACCACTATGACATTTTAGGAAGGTACTGAAAACATTGTTCCAGAAGCTGAAATGGGGAAATGTCTGAACTTCTGCCATCATGCCAATCTCCTTGGTAATATCTGGCTAGAACAAATAGCAAGAAATAGGAAAAGGTATTTCCCCACACATACTGGCCATAACCTGTGCACTCATTTATCAGTTAAGCTTATATACCAGAAAAGATAAAATACAATGCCTGGTTATTCTAAACCTAATACCTCAGACGGAAAAGTCTACTTTTTAATAAACTCTTAGGCATTCCATCCCATAATTGATAGCAAACAAACTGCTGCTTCCACAAACATCCATAGCACTCCATCCATAGCATTACTGACAACTGGGTTTGATTTCTAATCTTGAGCTTTTAGTCTGTGAGATGGTCAGTGAAATTGTGTTAAATTCAGCTACTGCTGGCAATTCTTCCTTGTTTTGTTCAACAGTCCTTTAAAAAAAAAAGTTGACAAACGACTAAACAGCGTCCCAAATTCTGTATTCCTTACTCCCAAACCCATTTTTAAAATAGTGGTAACTAATCTGGAATATTACTTACCCAGTTTCAAAGTTTTGAAGGTCTTTGGCTCTCCGGTGGTTCCACCAGCTTCATTGTTTGCCATGATATAGACAGTATACTGTGTATTAGCCTGCAAGGACTTCAGTCTGTATTGTTGATCATTAGAGTTCACTGTTTCATCTTTTTAGGAGAAGATTTATGTCAATAAACACACAAAAAATAGTGTTATATCAGGGAACTGTACAATTATTTAGCAACATTTACAATAACAGATCATAAAGTATTTTAAAGACAATTTGAAATACAAAGTGATCTTATTAATCCTTTTATGGAGAAAAATTACTAAAAAATGTTTATCAATACTACTTAAAATTGAAAGTAAATACACAAACCATTATGTATTTATTTTTCAAAATTAAATACAAATATTTTTTCTAATATTAAAGACAGGTGAATTATGATCTCCTGTAGTTTATTTTATCACTGAAAACGGTGTTTTGAGAACTTTATTTCCTTAAACTAGTTGGCTCAGAAATTAGGAACTTAAAATAGTTTCTGTAGCTTGTGAAGTTTACCTGTATTTCTAGTACATGCAGTTAGACACTGATAATCCAAAAAGATGCAATCTACCAGCACTGGGATATCACCCCAATTATGGCAAAGGAAAGCCAAAATCAACAGGAATTTTTTTCCAAGTGTAATGGTTTTAAGTATTAGGCCTTCCTTCCTGGTCGCCAGGAAGGAAGGAAGTATTCCATCCTATTCCTTTATGTAACCCAAACATATAAATAGATGGAGAGAGAAGCCTCTTCCTCTCTTCCCTTCTGGCAAGGTTTGGAGACAGCAGATTCCCGCAGCCAGTCTTGTTTCTGTGGGGGAGCTGAGGCCTGGCCGGGCCTGCGGGGCCTGTTGTTCCTGCCGATCCGGGGTCTGGTAGCGTGGCGGCGGCGTTTGGGCGATTGTGCTATCCCAAGGAAAGTAGTAAGATATTCTTTTGCTAATTCTTTAGTTTGCTAGATCCTGAGTTTTTGATTGTGTATATCTATTTTGGTTTTGTCCTTTTTGATCCCTTTCCCTTTTCCTTTTGGAATTGTATATAGTATTTCAACTGTATTTAACTGTAATATACATAAATACATTTATTTTAATATAGTTCGGCTAGTCTGGATTTTTTCACAGTTTTTTTTTTTCTTTCCTCTTTGCCAGAGGGTTTTGTGCTAGGTCTGGGGACTTGGCGGGGAGCCAAATAAAACTTAGACACCAAGTTTCAAAATGCTTTTATGAATAGAACTCAATGTTTCCAATACCTTGTCCAATACTGAAATTAGTATATGATGTGCTTCACCTTTAAATTTGTTTTAAGCAGGGCATATATTCTACCATCCTATGTCTACTAACAGTACCGAAAGCATCTTCCTACTATGAAATTACAGTCGCTGAAACATTTTTCTGGTGCATAAAGTCTAAGTCATCTCATGTCATTATTCAGTTCAGTCAAGTAATACTCAGGAAACAGTTATGCTGCAATACGCCCAGAGTTAAACTGAGTTTCTCTTAAATCAAGGAGGGAAAAGTGAAGTTCTAGAGTTAAAGGCCACCAGTGAAGTTACATTGGCACACACCCCATGTTCTATTCTCATCAAGAAGATGTGACATCAGAGAAGCCTCAAAAAACATCAGTACGGTATGTTTCAGAATGGTATGTTTCTGTCATTTAAATTTAACTCCCCTGAGTTCATATTTAGAACTAATTTTCTAAAGAAAATAATCTGAACCCCTAAAATGGACACAGCCTGCTTTACACTAGAAGTAATATGGACATGTGTTGCTCTGTAACATGAGGCTGCATGTCACAAGGATGACCCTGCACAAAGCAGTCAGCATTAAATTACTCAGAAACCAACGTGGCAGGAAAAATAGCATGTAGAGGACTAAATCTGAAAGAAATAATTAGCTTTCTCTTTCAATTTAAAAATTACCAAGAATACTCATGCCCTGGTTGTAAACTGGATATCCAGAAGAAACAGAAGACATCACAAGATTTGAAAGTTTGAGAACTTTTCAGAAGAGATTGTGTTAGGTGCCTGTTAACAGTGATGTCTCATAAAATAGCAGGGAAAAAAACATTTCTGAAGCACTGAATGTTCCAACAGCATTCTTCATAAATTGTACAGGAAGAGAAATTTAGGCTACCAAAACCCTTTTCATAAAAGATTCTGCTGAGATTTAAACTAAAGAAGCTCTGAACAGATAGCATTACACTGTCAGATCGTATGGATACTGTTCCTGAGGTAGAGATTAGGAATATGCTCAAAGTTATGCTATCAGCCTCCAGACCAGAAAAGCAATACCAAGCACAAAAAATCAAGCATCTGAAGAAACTGATCTAAAAACTATGCCCAGAGAAACTATTTCTGGGCAGCTTAATTTAGCTTCTCAACTGTTATTTCCTAATTTGCTTTTAATATAAAATTGACTGTAAAAACATTTTTAACAGAAAATTTCCACCACAGTGTTCCAGAAGCTGAAGGGTTCCAGAAGCTGAAGGCATGTCCTTCCAAAGATGTGAATGGAATTTATAAACCCACTGAACCCTCATGATCCATGAACTTGCAAAAGACCTATGACTCTCCAATATATTTTAGCTCCTCTACTCCTGTCATTAATTTTTCGATTGAGTTCAAAGGTGTGTCATGATGGAAGACAGACAAAAAAGGGAGGAACACTAGTACATACGTAAAATGGTAAAACAGCAACTATCTGACAAATAATACTCATTACTTTGGCATAATCTGGTAAATTTCTTTTTTTTTTTTTAAACTGTTAATGGCAAACAATCTGCAAAATGTTCCTCATATGTCAGTTTTCATCCTGGTCTGGAAAGGGAAGAGGAATAATAGTGCTGCCATACACTGACTAAGTTTATCACCTAGATCCGTCACATTTACATCTGAGAAGCAGAAGGACAATGAAGCCAACAGTCACGACTGTATTACCATGGGTAGTACAACACTACTAGTAAACTGAGAGTAAGCAGTGCTGTATAAAATAAGTTCAGAAAAAAGAAACTGAGAAAAAGGACACATATTGCATTAAAGTACTAAAGTAGGGACTATTCACTAGAATACCACATCATTTCCATTGAAACTAAACATTTTTTAAATCTGTACATAAGCCACACTTTAGAACCAGTATTTTCAGACATATTTACATATAATATACAATATGATACACAATAACAAAGCTTGCTAGTAACTATGACAATAACTATCTGTAGACAGCATATTGTCATAATTCTGTTGAAAACATCACTGTTTAGTGTACACTTACTCAATTCTTTTCCATCTTCAGGTTTATAAAATATTGTATAGTTAGTGATAAATCCGTTGCTTTTATCCTTTGAAATCTTATTCCATGTTACTGTAACTTCATTTTTTCCTGGAATGCCTGTGTGAGCCACAGGTCCTTCTGATGGTTCTACATAGAAGCATCAGAAAGAAAAAGTACTAAAAGTCAATATTCCACAATGTTATCCATCTGTGTTACTTCACACATACCAGTAAAATTAGGAGCAACAAATGCACAAGAAAATATGTAATGTCAGTGCTCTGACGTAGTCCTTAACTTTTCTCACCCTCTTTATATGGGATTTCTTCTGATAAAACTTCCCCTCATTTATTCTGGTGTTAGCATAGTTCTAAGTGCTACTGCCTTTCCTCACAGGATCAGAGACAGATCAAGAGGTAAAGCAACGCTACATACTCATGGGGGAACTCAGATGCAAGGTCACTGAGTGTGCAGGACGTCTCAGGCTGAGCTGAGATTTAACTGGTGTCTCCAGTACACCCAGTCTTGCACATTACATTAGACAAAGCCTTCCTACTTACACAATACCACCTCACACGCATTGCTCATAACTTCTCAGGAAGAGTTCCCTGCATTTCAGCTTTAAAACAAATAACTTGCTTCCCATTCTCTGACAACCTTGAGTGCTGTCATAGCTACCTATGAACAGGAAAGCATTCGACACACAGCTCTAACTGTGCTAGTAAGTATTACTCAAACATAAAATATTCCACTACCTCTTCCCAGTAATTAATGCTGTTTAGTAGAGCATTGTCCTATATATGCACACACACAAATCAACATTTTCACATGAAATCTTAAAATTACCAGTAAACTACATTCTTACAGCTGTGTGTATAAATCACTAAATTCACATTAAACTTCTACAAATAAAGAAACATTCCTCCTCTTCCCTCTCCTCAACACTATTTCATCTACGATTTCTATCTAACTACAAATGTCACGGCTTCTTACTATTTTTTATGTGCAGGACTGCAAATATTTTGTTACATTATAAAATTTAACAAAAAGCAAGCTTTTCAAACCATTCATTTTATTCTGTCAGTAGAATTTCATCATACATTAGGACTTACAAATGCAGTCAAGCACTAAAATCAAGCATATATCTTAATGAACTGTAACACTGAAGAGATAACTAGTTTAAAAAAATCCTTTCATGCTTGTAGCTGTACACTTTCCAAGTGCTTTGTGTAAAGTATGTAAACTTTACAAAAAATTAGTGGATTGAAGCAGCAATATCCCAGTATCACAAGATGCATGTTTTCTTACTGAACAATTTTGTCGCTGAACAAAACAGAAATCAAGAGGCCTGAAACCTTGGGATTTTTCCACTTTCTCCATCTCTTTCAAATAATGATAGTACTAAATTGATCAAAGACAATACATCCTGACAGACAGACTACAATATATCTTTCACAACATTATTAGTTTAAAATACATACTTTTTTGTTGAACATAAGTTTGTACGGTGTATGGAGCTGCTACTTTATTTCCATAAAGAGGATAGACCGAGATGTTATAGCATACAAATGGTTTAAAGTTTTCTGTAAAGGGAAAAAAAGGAATATTTACATACAATTCTCTGTGTGAGATTAATACAATGAAAATAGACTAAATCCCAACCAAGTTCTAAATATAGTGTTACAGATTATTTCCTTCAACTCTTTAGCAAGCACAACATGTATTTATAACCTTGAATGCTCATTACTGCCCTTAACACACTTTTTTGCTAGTAGTATTCATAAGAGCATGTGGTTTCTGACTCATTTTTCACTAGAAATACTTTGAATGGGTCATTAGACTTCAGCCTTATATAACTTCCCCATATGAACCCACTTACTCATCTCAAAAGAGTTTATGGTTTTGGAGGAAGTTTCTATTTTCAAATAACCAGTAAAAAATTGCACTTACAGTAATACTTTTAATTTCAGATATCTTTATGTTTACTGCTCTGCAAAAGACAGTTTCTCATGCATCAAATAGTTTAAAAGGTACAGTGGAACCCCACCTCTTAATGCTTAGAACCTGAGGGAACAGCATGAAATTGTGTCAGGGATATTAGGAGAAGGTTTTTCACCCTGAGAGTGGCTCTCCAGAGCAGTGGTCACCACCCAAATCCAAATGTATAAGGAAAATTACATGCATTGTATTAACTAATGGTAATGGACATGGGATATTCACGTTGACATCAACATTCACAACTTTGCCTTTTGCACACATCTCTTGAGCTCTGTACCCTTTTTGGTTTTTCATTGAAACTACAGAGGCATAGCCAAAACATTAGCAGTTACAGAGATTATCTGTTTTTAAAACGTCAGCCTCTAGGAAAAAGACTAAGATCTTCCTCTATTTGTCAGTGCTTCATAAGGTCACTGAAAACTCTTAAAAGTGCCTTAGATCATAATACAAATGTGGTTATATAACATCTAACACGCCAGATTGATCAATCACTCCACTTGCTTATTTCAAAGTAGAATTCTCACTCAAATCCTCCTTCAAGTTTCTTGCTCTCTTCTAAAACACATGAACTATCATGATCTTTTCCCATATTTAAATTAATCTTTTTTGTTGTAGATTTCTCTGCTAAAATAGTGTACATCTGCCTCCCTACTGGCATAAGATGAAGCCACACAAGTGCTTAAACACAAAATCTGAAGCCTAATCTTAGACGGGAGCAAACACCACCTTTCATGTTGCATGAAAATTTGAAAGAGTTAAAATTGCTATTAAATTACTTGCAGAGATTTCAATAAAACATGTAATAACACTGCTATGTTTAAAATGGTCTGAGGAAAGCTGGATGAGTTCATCCTTGTTTGTTCTTTCCAGTCTACCTATAAATACATACATATCTGTACATTATTACAGCTGCAGCCGATAAATAAACGTACTTTTGTTAGTTTTCCAGTTTGTAGAATTCGACACATATTGCCACGATCTACTAAAAGGATCCATCTCCAATTCCTCAAACCACTCAACTACATATTCTGTTGCTTCTGGTTTAGAGACTACCCATTCCACAACCACTTCTTCATTTGATGGTAAGGTCCTCGCTGTTCCAGTAATCTGAGCAGCTAAAAATTTAACAGATAATATCAGCAATTCTATTTTCATAAAAACTTCAAAAATACATACAGAATCCAAAGACAAGTCTCTCTTTTAGAATCTGAATTTTACAGTTTGTAAAATTTTGCAAACCAATTTACTATCAATTTTGCAGTTTGTGCAGATAAGCAAGTTTTGATTGAGACGACAAAGGCAACAGAAGAACAGTAAAATAAGTCAGCAAGGTCACGAGTGACAGTGAAGCAAAAGTGCACCATCAGCCTGCAGAACAGACGTAATAAAAGTCTGACTGAAAACACCACCTGGCAAAGCAGAGGCAAAAAAGACCTGATGAAGCAGAGGAAAAAACAGATGCCTCTAGGGGTGGGGAGGGGAAAGCATGTCACAGCATGGAAAAATCAGAAAAACATTTATGGTGGGATATAGAAGTGAGTAGAGAGGTAATCAGAAACCTCCAGGGCAAGATGACAGCACATCTACACATCCAGTTTTTTGATTAGAAATGGAATTTGATTGAGCAGTTTCAGGGGGACACTTGCACTCATTTCATGAACAACTGATACAGAAATTATTCAAGTGTTTCAAACGTAGACTCTCTTCTAGATTATGGTAGGCAGCAGGATGTTGGAATACAAGGCTCACAGAGGTATCAGAATTAAACATAAGAGCCAAAGAGCTCAGCTGTTGTGCTAGAGCAGACCAACTTCCTGACCCTGGCAGTGGGTGGGATGAGGTACTTCAGGAATGCACATGAAACGAGAATAAAGGCTTCTCTCTCTGCTTCCACTGACACATCTTAGAGACTTCTATTTAAGGCATCTTTGAATGATGCTGTTTAATGCTCTGCAATATTGTCCTGCGGTAACCAATTTTATGACCTAGCAAAGGGATGTGACAGAATTGGGTAGCACTCTATAAATTTATTTGGGAGGTACAAGGTTAGAAAAAAACCACAAACCAAACCAAAAAGCCCTCAGAAAATAATAAAATGGAAATAATATAGAAATAAACATCAGAAAGTATTCATATCTTAACAACTGTATCTCAAAATAAAATCCCTAACAATAATCATCTATAACAGACGCATGACAGCAAAGCACAACAACAAGATATAGATATAGATATGGGTATAGATATAGATAAAGATGTATGATAGAAGTCCTTAACACAATTTTGCTTCCACTGTAGCAAAACTTAAACAGATGTCATGAAGATAATTTTTTTGGTAATGAGAAAAATATGGCATTGAGAAATCTTACTTTTTTCGTCTGCGGATGGAATCCTCAAAATAGCTTCAGGAGAATTTCCAGCAGAGTTATAGGCAGTAACAGATACTATATGTGCCTCTTCATTTAAAAGTAAAGTGATTTTCTTGTCAGTAGAGTTGTTTATCATTTTAAGTGCAGTCTTGTTTTCTGGAAAATACTGTATTTTGTAGCCTAGAATTCTCCCAGAAGGTGGAAAGCTATTTAATGGCTATTAAAAAAAATAAGCAGTAGTAAGTGTTTCACAGTGTTATTTGCATAACCAAAAATATATGTTGCATTGAAGAGTCCAGATCAAATTACAAAATGATTATACCATATTTAGCAAAGCAAGGCACTTTCTTCAGTCCCATTTTCAGGACAGAGAGCCATAACAATTTCCTTGAAGGAAAGGTTCAAAAGTCCTGAGATTTGAAACGCAAAAAGTCTTTGGACACTTTACTAAAAGATTAAAGTGAATTTAACATAGCTTTGATAAGCCATATTATTTAAAAGTAGTTGTAAACACTTTCAATCAGATTCTCCAGTGATCTGAACACAATTTAATGCTTCCTTTCCAAAGACATTACAAAACTCTATCCATCTACCATTTAGTAAACAAAAGCCTTTTTAATTCTGCTTTAGTTCAGTGAGGTTTTTTCTGATGACAGCAAACGCCCCTGGCAGTTATATGTCCTACAACACTAAAATACTTCAACACAACATCAGTTACAGGATACCAATATGATTATCAATTCACATAAAGAGTATAAAAAATAGTATATACCTTCCACATAAGATGTACAGATCTACTTCCAGGTGAGTGTGAAGACTCAATTACCCTCCACAAATCCACTTTTTCTGAAGGAGCTATATAAGGACAAAAAATAACTTGAATATCTTTGCTATATTAGAAAGATAGTCTAATATGGTAAACAAAAGGTTTCAAACATACAGACTGAGAGAAAGTTAATAAAAATAAGTTTTCTCTTGTGTAATGCTGTGCCTTTTTTCCCCTAGTAAGTACAGCTTCTCTCTTTCCATAAGTTTCCTTCTGCTTTCTTTTATAGTTAAGTATCAGAGTTTCCTAGAGGAGATTTTGTAGTCTTGTTTTATAACTGGAAATTTAGTGTCTCTACTTATGATTAATTTTATTGAACATACTTGCTATACTACATTTCTGCTACTATCCTGTTTTGCGATGTTCAATCTCCATCTGCACTCCTAATTTTCCCTCTCTTCACTGTCTATTCACCCATTTTCTTCCTTAGCCCTATATTCTTTGAATCACTTTTCAAATCTCCTCCACTACTTGCTCTTGTGTTTTAGTTTTCCTCTTCTATCTTTAAACAAAATACACATGTTCTGTTTAAGCAACAGAATTCTAAATGCAATAGACAATAGACTGAAAACACAGTTTATTAAATCCTAATGCCTCAAGGTATAACTGAAGAAAACTTTTACAGGTAGTCAGCCCACCTTTCTCTTTCGTGCTTCCACTTTTCTCTCCACTCCATTCACTCCAAAATATTGATTCATTACTGATACACCGAACAGCAACAGAATATTCTGTGGAGTCCCACAGACCTGTGAGATTACATGATCCTGTTTTCTCTGCAGAATTCAGTGGGACAGTGACATATTTCTGAAAGTAGGTACATGAACAAAATTATTTGATAGAAAATTGTGTGCAGATATTTGACTTATTAAAAAAATGAAACAAAAATAACACAAAAGACGCAATTTTAATGTTTCCCACCTCACCCCTTTGAGACTCAAGACTGTATTTCATTTTCCTGTGTAGCCTCTTCATTCTTCCGATAAAACCTCAGGGTTTGAAAAACTTGAGCCAAAACTAGATCTGTACTGGCTGTCCTGTGGCTTGAATTGTGTACAGCTCACACATGATTCTAGAGCAGTTGTGCTGGCACAGGACGGGTTGGATGAATGCAGTTCCCACTGATGGGAAGCAGCTGGTTATTGCAAAGCTATAATCACAACAATATCCCACAACAGCAGGCTGGGGGAAGCATTTTGTGAGCCAGCTGGGTACTTCTTTCCTTTCTTGTTTTTCTTTTCTGAGTTACAAGGTCTTCTAGCTCTTAGCCATACAATTAGTGTGGCTGTGAGCCGTTCCAAAGATTATCAGCAAAGGATTAAAATGAGAAGACAAATGAAATACAAAAAAGTTTGATACCAAGAGGAAAAGAAAAAGAAGATGGAGCCTTCAAGTGGTGAAGGAAGACAAGAGCATGAGAAATCACTGACGCAGTATATTTTTGGAAAAGTAATGACAAGGTGAGTAATTTCTTTGTCTTAAAAGGAGCTCCACTCACTTCTCACTGATGGAAGTCAGAAGCTAGATTACTCTTCCAAAACAAATAAAATAGATATGAAGACCAGGAACTGGAGTTGATGCACCAACTCAAGTGGACTGACAACATAGAGCAGAAAAAAACAACAGGAACTGTAGAAAGATAAGTGTTTGTGAACAGAAGGACTGATATAATCACTACACCAACATTAATGTATTACCTTCCAAATTGCAAAAATTACTCAATAATTAACGACTCTTCCCCTGTTAAATTTCAGATTACTGAAACAGAAAGACACCAAAATAAATGTTCAAGCTAGCTAAATTCTAACGTCAGCAAAGGCAAGTTTTTGAATAAGGAAGATTCCTTCTTGGCAGCTGAACTGAAGTAGTAAAGTCACATAGATTCTCAGTAGGACTAAAAAACTGTGAAGAAATTCTTGTCTTCTACCACCTGAACCTTCCAATAAAAAGTGAATCAAACTATAACAATATAAAATGCAGACACCCACTCCTATAAACACCATAGTGGGAAATGCACTGTCTAATGAAACTGAAATTTTTAGTCCATTCTGATCCCAAGAAACTCATTGTCAAAAAAATAAAACTGCTTCTATGAGAATGAATTCAGGGACCTACAAAGCACTCTATGTGACAGACTCTCTATTGAACCTACAGCAAAAAGGGCTTCAAAACTATTATCAGCCTCCTGCAGAACCTGACATAGAACTGGAGACACCACAGACTAGCTTTTAGTTACTTGCCAAAAGGCTGTTAACAATATTTCATCATAATCAGAAACTTAGTAGAAACTCGGTATATGCAGGCAGAAAAACAGGTAACCTGTTTTCACTCAGTAAAAACAGTTCACACCAAACTGTTTAGACTGGTTTTTTGGTAGGACAGCTTAAAAGGCTCAAATATTCTTTTTGTTCATTTGTTTGGGATTTTTTTTTTTTTGCACACACGTGCTGACAGAAAAGCACCTTCTATGTCTTTACTGATCATGGATAGTTACTGTTTTTTCTCTAGATTATCTGTGGGAAAATTCAGGTAAGATGTGAGGAAGCAAATGGATGTAGACTGTATTCAATGCTGGAAAAGCAGAAAGGTGATTTCTAATGCAGGTACTGAAAAACAGACACAATACACAATAAAGCTGTAACTTTACAAAAATGTGAATGTTTTCAACACTGGGGAAGGACCCAACAGCAAGCAAGCATCACAAGGACACCAGTGCCCTGACTCCAAAGGGATAAACATCTTGAACAGGTCTTTTTAATAACTATTAGTTCCATTTCTAATATCCCAAGTGGATTTGAGCTATTCTGCCCATCCAATCATCCCAAATATTATATCTCGAATCCAAAAATCAGTATATCATATCTACAGTAGAGATGCTTGCCATGAAATGTGAAAAGAATGCTAATTAGAAACATCTTCAGTATTAGGAACTTCTTGAAAGCTCTGAAGACTACCTTGATGAATTCTTCTCTCACAAAATTACACATATAATGTATGAAACAGTAAGATCAAGGCAGACAGCTAAGTCCAATGAACTCAGAAAAGTAAGCCAAGGAACCTGTACCATTCTTGAATTTGACAGAGGAAACAGTAACACTACAAACAGAATCCCTTCCATATTGAGGAGCATAGGAATAGATCATTTGGCACCTGCATTTCCATTTAACTGTCAGAAAGATAAACTCAGAAAAATAACTTCCCTTATTTTCCATCCTGTAAAATTCATATTTTAGTTCACTTTAAAATTAATGTAACATTAGTCCCTCTTAATCAGATTCAACTATTTTGTTTGGGAGTAAGTGATGTTTTCCACACCAGAATGCAAGGGGAAAATAAAATATTTTGATTGACTGCCTGTGTAATCCCTTGGCCCAGGATCATCCCTTAAGCCTTTCAAAGAAATATACTGAGAAGTATGGTATGTACAAAACAGAAAAGGAGCAAAAGAAAGAGAACAATTAATCCTAGATAACAAAACAATGTTCTTAAAACCATGACTACCTTATTACATTCCATTAAAATAACAAGTTTTTAAACATTAGTTCAAACTAATTGTTGCCTTTTTCCTATTTAAACTTTTATAACATTAGTCAGTATTAGTCACAAAGAGACTAGCATTCAGAAGAAAAATGATGTAACTTACTGTAGAGTTTGAATACAAGTTTCTGTATTGAACCTGGCAAGTTAAATCTTTTGAAGGGACAATCTTCTCAGGCATTTTCCAGGTTACTGTAAGTAACTGCTTTATATCGCTGATTGTTTTAACTAAAAGTATTTCAGGAGGGTCAAATTTCTCTAAAATGCAGAAAAAAAAAAAAACATTAAGAGGAGAAAATGCCTCTATAAAAGTTTAGAATTTCTCTGGCTATGTGTGTTCCAAAGAAGTTTAATCAGTATCCCAATAACACATGTCCTATCAGAGTATCCATGTGACAGTCTGTTTCACAGACATAACTCTAAGTTTGGGAAGTTGTCTTTAAGAGAAATTGCACATATAACTGATTTAATTAAATGGGACTTTGAACTACCTGGTCTAGCAGAAGGTGTCCCTAGCCAGCCAAGCTTTTCTATGATTTTGCTCACAAACCTGCTCTCAAACACGTGCAGATTTCTTTCATCTGTACCAGCACTGAGAAATACTACTCAGAGATAACAGCAGGGAAAATAAATAAAGCAGGGCTGGGATGCGAAAGACAAGTCTGAACTGCAGAGGAAGGAAGAATTCAGCTGAAAAGGATTTGAGGGGGAGAGAAGTGTGAAGGACAAAGTGGGGAAAGAATGGATTAGCAATGAGGAAAGAGATGGCTGGCACAGAGAATGTGAAGAGTAATGAGGAGCCACAGCAGGTTGGAACACAGGAATAAAGGAGCATATGACTGGAAAGCTGACGAGTGTTGCAGCAATAAGGATTATTGATTATCTACACCAAAGTGAACAGAGGAAAACAGAGCACAGGGCAGAGGGAGAAGAGGTAGACAAAATATTTATTTTTGCTCCTGTGTGCAATTATTATTACTGCACACAGAACAGGTGGTTTTTAACATGCCTAACCAGAAAGTAGAATAGCAGAGTAAATGATAGGCGGCCCTGGAGAAATTACAGCTGGGTGTGGCACTACATTTAGTACTACTCAGAAATAGAAAAGTACAGTCCAAGTACCGCTTAGTTCAACAAAAAGCTTTAGTTTTTTGCCTTTACTTGTCAATAATTAAAACTTAGTAATTTATAATGGATACATCAGACATTATCTTTAAAAAATATTGCTGCAGTTAGGTGTTTCATAGTATGAATACAGCACCCTGTCATTTTTCATTAACTCTCTGTAAAATCAAGAAACTTATGAAAATTACTGCTGTAACACACCACTTTGAAGAATTTTATACAGAAAGACCATCAATTAAATCTTTATTTAACTCTTCTTTAATTACCTATTTTTCCCATATCTATAGGAACACACTTCGATAAGGCTTCACCCAAAACATTTTCAGCTTTCACCTGAAAACAAAAAGCACTACTATACGGAGTATCTGGATATAGAAATGAACATGACTCTGTTTTACTCTGGCAGGAGCTGACTATAGTATTTGGATTAGTCGCCCTAAAAAACATAAGAGAAAAATTATAGGAGTTAGAGATTTTTCTTAGAATAATTCAAACTCACTGTTGGGTTATTATTTATAGTTTTTTGAGGTTGCAAGACTTTTCTACCAGTGAACATCTTTAGATGATTTGTTTGTGCAATGAATACTCTTTCCTAATGGCACTGCTTATGCAAATGCATATAAATAGTCTGCACAGACTCAGTTAGTTTTAACTGCAATTAGTAAAACCATTTTCCAGGAGCAGAGCAAAGAGTAAAAAGGCCTTAATAGGAAATCCACATGCTATGATTATTTTTTATTAAAATCTCAAAGAGAAGTGAAATCATATAACTCCATATAGGACTTCCTTTAAAAATACAGATAGGTTGACTGAGCTAGTAACACATGCCACATGGAACTATGTAATAACAAGCTTTTATTCATTTTTTAAATACAGAAAAAAGCCAAAATCCACCACTGCCGAACTATCCCAAGGCAACAGAAATTTGACAGAAAGAACATGTTGTCTTTACAGCATTTACTTTCATAATAAATAGTGTAGAATGCAAAACTAACAAAATATGTTTCATTTTACCGACCCACAGGGAAATTCTTCAACTAATGAAAACTCAGATAAGGGGTTTCTGCTAAATGTTCCATACGATGCAGTAAGCAAGCAGATAATTTTGTAAATCAAAATGGTTTTTGGGGCTGGTATTTCATGAACATTTTAAGCTAGCGTAAGCCTGTGCTGCTTCAAAAAGCAGCAGTCCAACCTTCTCTATCATGCAGAGCTGTTGGTTTCCACCCATGGCTCTCCACCTCTTGTACCAATGCTTTTGTAGTCATACGTTAAACTCAGCTGGGGAGTTATCTGGATTAAAATTAATGGTTAGATTTGACTAGAAGTAGTTCTGCAGTCCAATTAACTGTATGGTTAATGAAGAATTTGTGCATGTAGAGGAAACATACTGTCAATAGCTTCTGACTTCACTAACTCAGCTAAGTTAAAAATTATATAAGCACCAGAAGAAGTAAGAAAGTTCCACATAGAAAAAGTAGAAGCCTAAAATGTCAAACCTACAATGGAGATAAAACTAAAGAGGTTTTCCTACCCTACAATTTCAACCTAATTAGTAACACTACTTCAAGGGAACAAGTTTATATCACTTTTGATATAAACATTTCTCTACTGAATATTGGGTTGAGCATGCTCAATTTCTTTATACAGCACAGTAAAAAGGTCGTTGTAACTTTTTTGAACAATTACCAACCCTGAATTAATTAATTTAATTTACATTAATGCCATGATGTTTCTGAATTCCATGATGTTTCCAGGTTGTCTTTAAACAGAAGTCAGGATGAGAGGGAAAGCAGGCTGGTTATCACACTCCAGCAATCCAGCTCCCAACACCTCCTATACTTACAGTTTTCGGTAAAGAGTATAGTTTCTTGTAAAACTTGTTTTTCTTCCTGAATTCCAGGTACAGGTAAGGTTATCATCAAAGTAATAAATGCAGGAAATATTTCCCGGAGTGTCTGGAGGAACTGCAATGACAAAGGTTTAAGAAAAAAACAACCCAGTGCAAATAAGTAATTTTAATGTACAGCTGATTTTGTTGGTCAAAAAGCAGATTATGGCAAACTTCACACAGTGTATTGCACAGCACTTCATTTTATTATTCCTTACTGCCCTCAAAACTCAAGATCAAAATCAAAACCAGTCCGTCTTTCCCTGGGGAGATTTTCTCCAGCTACTTCTTGAAAATACTTTACTAGGTGGCCTAAAGGCAGTAACCGATTAACTAGCTTGTATCAAACCACTATATACACTGTCCTGAACCTCTAAGTACACACATACCCCACCTCCCACCTGCAACATACCTGTAGCTCAATGGCAGTCCAGACAGTAAGAGAAAAACAAAGAAACAGTACAAACGTTCCAAAAAAAAGGCATTCTTTGAAAGACAAAACTCCTCTTGATTCCCTCAGAGAACATCCAATCACATACAGAGTGCAGAAGACAAATTCCTGGGAAACAGATCTAGGTGACCTTGAAGAGATCACTAATTCTGGACTCTCTTTATCTCTTTATGCAAGGCAGCATAAAGGAAACAATCTTCTACAATCTCTGTAGTCTGAAATCATCCACAAAAATGTAACACCCTCAAAGATTTCTTTGTTACAGCTAGGTTACTTCACTGGTTAGAAAAAACTGGAGTGGAAAGGAGGAAAACTGTGCCCCCATTGAAATAAGTTGGATGAAAAAACCCTCTTTTCAAAATAGTACTTTTCTGTCCCATCTAACAGAACATTCAAAAGAACTTTCTGTTATTGACAAGTTTATGGCACAGTGATCTTCCCAGACAAGCAATACTTTCTGCTGGATTTTATTCTACACATGTCTTTCTGCATTTACTGCTTCTTTATTGGAATGGGACCTCCAGGCATACATTTGTATAATCTGGACTTAATCTGTTCAATAAACTAGAGAATTCATATACATACTTCAACCTTCTCCGTAAGAGATTTATAGTTAAAATTTCTTTGGAAGAGAGGACTAGAGAGGAAGTCCTCTCTGGAGAAAGCCAAATATGGCTAAGTTAGACAAAAGATATAACAAAGGGATATACCCAGCACCGTTGGAACTCAACAGAAAATTTCAACTGGCTAAAATCTGGGATCAGAGAGGTTTTAGACCAGTGTCAGTAAGGAATGCCCATACATTCATACTTTATTTCAGGGGAAAAAAAAATGAGATACTTGAATACAGGTGTTTTATGATGCCACAAGATAAAAAAACAAAAGTAGCTCTTTTAAAAGCAAAATCACTAGAGTAAAAATGTTAAAATCAATTTTTCTGTGTTTCTACTTACAGCCAGATTTAACTTCTTTGTGAACCAGAAGCTGTTCCTTGTCCAAGTACTTCATGAAACATTTCAGATAAGCTGTGCTGTAGGTGAAATTAGGGATGGTTATACTAGATACAGTCTCATTCACAATGTTATAATTCTCTGGAGCAATCAGTTCATCATTCAATTTCCAGATGATGTGGCTTGCATTTCTGTGAGGCATGTGGTGTTTTCCAAGAATACAAAATCGTTTCAGGGAGGATCCTCTTTTAATTTCAGCAGATGAAGGAAAAATGTCAGCATCTCTGATAGAGTTTTCATCTAAAAACAAAATCAAAGCAACACATAGCCTAATTAATCTTAAAATACCAGTGGAAAAAACTGTAAGTTATTTTGTTGTCTAAAAATAATTTATTTTTTTTTGGCAAAGAGAATTCAAATAAAATGCTCAGTTAGTCACTCAAATCAGACACTGCTGTTTGAAAACTCAGTTCATATGAATTACTATATTAGAATAGGTGTTTCATTGGAGTGGCATTTCTAAAACTTCACTGAAATAATTGGGACATTTCAACCCAGATGTCTCTAGTTCTAATGGAAGAAAAATTTGATTTTATAAAACATTCCTATATGTAAAATATATGCATACCATTTACATGTTATCGTTACTAATTACAATATCAGAAAATATATCAAACTAATAAGGTTAAAATTTACAACCAAGCTGCAATATATTTCAATATCTCATTAGTACCTGTACACCTCTTAGAATTCATATTGCCAGATAGAATGTAGGAATTGTAATTAAAACACATGTAAAAGAAAAACACTTAAGTGGGCTGAATGAATGAATTCAACACCAAAGTTATCAAACAGTGCAAAAATCACCCATTAAAGTCCTGCAAAGAGCTACCTCTTTTGTGTTGTTTTGTTTTGCTGTTACTTATTTCTTGAAGCCAAATTTCATAAATTTGTAATTATTAAATCATTAATAAGTTTAATAAATAAATCTGTACAGAAGAGAACATCAAGACTGCCATAAATTAATTTTTCTACATATAATTGTGATAAATAAATAATTGTGATTCGTGAAACAAATGGGTGATTACATCAAAATAAAACAAATGGATTGTAAAACTTAATTACACCCCCATAAAGAAATAAAACAGACCCTTACAAGGTCAAGGGGCTATAAAACCTCCTCACTATCCTAAGAATAAAATATGGTAGAACTTCAAATCTTTTAGGCGCCTGTTCGTCCAAGAATGCATGAACTATGACCGGTTGTAGAGATAACCCTTTTAGCTTTAGCTGTAAGAAAACCCATATATTAAATGCTTAGCAAAAAGCTGTAAAATGTATATGTATATGATATAATTAATATGCATGAAGTAGCTAAGATAAATGCCAAATGTACACTGTAGTAGGAGTGCAGATTTGGGAAATTTGTCCCCATTTCTGTCACCCAGCTGGCTGCCTGCTTTTACCATATAATAAACTCCTATTCAAAAACTTAAAGAAATGAGACTTTGTTTATCACATACTGTACACTACTTAATCAACCTACTTTTAAAATACACTTTTCTGTTTTCAGAACTCTTCAAAATTTCATTTGGAGGACATTGCTTTTTGGAAAATTTTCTTACGGCAAGACAGGTGTTAATAATCAAGAAACATACCTGCTACAGAGCTGCAGAGCAGGACGAACATCCAAATCAAAGAGCTGAACATTTCCTTCTCAGTAACTACAGGCACAAAATGCTGTCATAAAAAAAAAAAATAAAAATAACATACTTCAAGTAAAGATGTCCGTGTAATACTTTGTTAGTATTTGTGTAAGAGTTAATAATGCTATTTAGCATTTCTCACTTGTATTCAAATTAATTATTGTTTTGTCTGAGTGTTACTTTCCTGCACAATGGAAGAAATTCCATGTAGTTCTCCTAAGATAAAAATCTTGGAAAGCATTTTATAATCTTTGAGGCTATGACAGCGTGAAACAGGAGAAAAAGCATTAAAAGGACACATGGGATAAAAAGAAAATGAGGGAAGAGTTTGCCCAGTGACACACTCCAAAAAAACAGCAGTAGCAAGATGTGTTCCAACAGGAAACAAATCCAGTACATAAAGAGAATCTATTACTACTTCAATTGCCTATGGTGTATGTTCTTAAAGCAGTAAAGACAGGTTACACTATCGATGCCAATAAAGAAAAGAACCTTCAGCAATTGTTCCAAGTATTCTGCATCAGCATACCTATAAGCTTTTCTTATTGTCCTTGATGTTCCTGGCCAGATTTAATTCTATCAGGGCTTTAGCTTTCCTCACCTGATCCCTGGCCGCTCACTGTATTCCACCCAGGCTACCTGTCCCTGCTTCTACCCTCTGCAGACTTCCTTTTTGTGCTTGTGTTTGTCTAGGAGCTCCTTATTAATCCAAGCAGGCCTCACAGTGTTTCTGCCTGACCTCCTCTTTGCTGGGATGCATCGCTCCTGAGCTTGAAGAAAATTATCCTTGATTATCATCCAGCTCTCTTGGGCCCCTCTTCCCTCCACGGCTTTATCCCATGGTACTCTACCAAGCAGATTCCTGAAGAAGCCAAATTCTGCTGTCCTTAAGTCCAGGGTAATGAGCCTATTGTCCTGGCTGCCTTAAGGATTTTGAACTTGAGCATTTCACGGCCATGGCAGCCAAGACTGCCCTTGAGCTTCACCTTTCTACCAGTCCCTCCTTGTTGGTGAGAACAAAGTACAGCACAGCATCTCTCCTCATTGGCTTCTCTGTCACTTGGGTGCCCTACTGTGTTGTCCCTCCAACAGATGATGGGGTGGTTGAAGTTCCCCATGAGGACCAGGACATGTGAACACGAGGCTGTTCCTATCTGTCTGCAGAGGGCCTCATCCACATGGTCTTCCTGGTCAAGTGCCCTGTAGCAGACTCCCACTATAATGTCCCCTGTACCTGCCCATTCTTAAATCCTGACCCATAAGTTCTTGTTTGGCTCATCCACCCCCAGGAGAAGCTTCATGCTCTCCAGCTGATCATTGACATATAGGGCAACACTGCCTCCTCATCTCCCCTGCCTGTCCTTCCTAAAGAGCCTACATCCTTCCATTCCAATGCTCCAGTCATAGGAACCATCCCGCTATATCTCCACAATGTCTGAAGATCACAGCCCTGCAGGCACGTGGTACACACCTAACTCTTCTTGTTTATTCCCTATAATAAAATTTCTGCTCATATTCTGCACATTCTGGTTAGTTGTTTTCAAGGGTATATGAAACAGAAGAGCCTGCATTTCAGCCAAAATAGTTCAGCTGTTTTCAAGAATAAAGACAACATTTCCTTATCATACTCCTTTAATAAGCTCCAGAAATCCCACATTATTTTAGCAAGGAATTGGAACTCAGAAGCATTGGGAAATCATGAAAACATTTTTGAATTATCCTTGTGCCAAGGACAGTGCTGTGAAACAGAGCACTAAAAGAACAAATCTGGCTGTGATGCCAATTTAGAAGCCTTTGAAAAATTCTGATTTCACATGCTCACCAGAAAGATTAAACAAAGATCCCGTCCACACTCAGTGGGTGCTCCTCACCCTGTAACAACAGCTACTTTTTCCCCTTTCTTCTACTGCTCCTCTAGTGCCCTACTTCCCGTACAGTTAGTCACTTCCACATGCCAAAATAGCAGAAAACTAAGAAAAAAAAAAGAATTTTTTCCTAGCTGTGAGCTGTTAATTTGGTTCAGTCCTCCTGCTTCCACTTTCTCTAGTACCAATTAGCAGCTGTTTATTTGACATGCCAGCTGCTAGTTACTACCCGCCAGAAATAAGGGTAGTGACTCCGCAGGTTACAATGCTGCTCAAGCCTCATCTGCTTGTCATGATACTGATCCATGACTAAAGAGCTCTTTGGCTGTTTACTGTTGCACAGGTAGAAGTGATGAAAAAACATGTCTGAGTGAAAGTCACATTATAAATTAGGAAGTATTTCACTTAAGACACCTATGTAAGGTAAATGCAGATAACTAAACAAATGGCATGAACAGAACCATCTTCTTCAAATAATTCAAGACTTGATTCACCAAACCCAGATTCCTTGCAGGCAGATGCAATCTCAATAAAGGTCACATTAAATAACTTGTGTAACATAGTTGATGAAACAATATTTTCTTTATACTTCAGATTTTCCATTTTCATTTTGGAATTTCAGTGTTTGAAAGTGCTATGGTTTAAAAATTTAAACGAACCAGAGGGAAAAATTATCCAAAGTAACTTTTTGCCATACTGTATTTAAGACCATTTCTTATCACTCTTCTCCTCCATTTCAGGACAAGAAATCTTTTTCCATTCAGATCCAATTTTAAGATTGTTTTTAACTACATGCACAATTCTGCATGCAGTGTAGATGTTACACCAGGAATAAAGAACATGCCACATCAATAAATGGAAAGGCAGTATGTCACAGAAGCATAGAGTGTTAAGGGGTTGGAATGGACCTTAAAGATCATCCAATCCCAGATTTCTCTGCCATGGGCAGGGACTCCTCCCACTAGACAACACTGCTCAAGGCTTTATCCAACCTGGTTTTGAACACTGCAACGACTGGAGCATCCACAACCTCCCTGGGCAACCTGCTCCACTGTCTCAGCACCTGCACAGCAAAAAATTTCTTTTTCTAAACTTCCCCTCTTCCAGTTTGTACCCATGACTTCTTGTCCAATCAATACAGTTCCTGACAAAGAGTCACTCTCTGGATTTTCTGTAGCCCCAACTTTCTCAGCCTGTCTTCATAGGGGTGGTGCTCCAGTCCTCTTATCAACTTCATGGCCCTCCTCTGGACTTGTTCCAGCAGTTCCACGTCCTTCTTATGTTGGGGACCCCAGAGCTGGATGCAGCACTCCAGGTGGGATCCCACAAGAGCAGAATAGAGGGACACAATCACCTCCCTTGACCTGCTGGCCATGCTGCTTTTGATGCAGCCCAGGATTTCGTTGGCTTTCTGGGCTGTGAGCACACATTGCCAGCTCATGTTGAATTCCACATCAACCATCACCCCCAAGTCCTTCTCCACAGGGCTGCCCTCAATCATTTCTCCCCCAACCTGTAGGTGTGTCTGGGATTGCCCTGACCCAGGTGTAGGACCTTGCACTGTGCTTTGTAGAACTTCATGAGGTTTGCATTGAGATCTGTCAAGGTCCCTCTGGATGGCATCCTTTCCCTCCAGCATGTCAACCACACCACAAAGCTTGGCACTAAGGGTGCGCTCAATCCCACTGTCTGTGTCATCAACAGAGATGCTGAACACGCCCCAGTACTGGCCAGTGAGGGACAGCACTCGGCACTGGTCTCTGTGTGGACAATGAGCCACTGACCACAACTCTTTGTGTGCTGCCATCCAGCCAGTTCTTTATCCACCGAGTGGTCCATCCATCAAATCCATGCCTCTTCAGTTTAGAGACAAGGATGTCATGTGGGACAGTGTCAAACGCTTTGCAGAAGTCCAGGTAGGCAACGCTCTGCCCCATCCACAAATACTGTAGGCCCCATTATAGAAGGTCACCACATTTGTCATGATTTCCCCTTTGTAAAACCATGTTGACTGTTACCAATCACCTCTTGGTTTTCCACAGCTTCCATAGCATAGTTTCCAGGAGAATTTGCTCAATGATCTTGCCTGGCACAGAGGCGAGACTGACTGGTCTGTAGTCCCCCGGGTCTTCCACTTTCCCTTTTTTAAAACTGGGCATTATATTTCCCTTTTTCCAGTCATCAGGGACTTCTCCTGACTGCCATGATTTTTCAATAATGATGGACAGTGGCTTAGCAACATCATCTGCCCGTTCCCTCAGGACCCGTGGATGTTTCTCATGGGGTCCCACGGACTTGTGCACATTCAGGTTCCTCAGATGGTCTCAGACCCAATCCTCTTCTACCCAATCCTCTTCTATCATTCTCCCAGTCCCCGCATTTGCCTTTCTCAACTCAGGTGAAATGGCTGGAGTACTTGCTGCTGAATACTGAGGTATAGAAATGGCTGAGAACATCGTCTTTCTCTTTGTCCAGGGTATCCAGGTCTGCTGTTTCCTTCCGAAGAGGGCCCACATTATCCCTAGTCTTTCTCTCCTTGCAACGTGTCTATGGAATTGTGCTCAGTGCCCAGTGCTGAGTAAAGGGGGGTGATCACTGCCCTGATCCTGCTGACCACACCATTGCTGATCCAAGCCAGGATGCCATTGGCCTTCTTGGACACCTGGGCATACTGCTGGCTCATGTTTAACTGCTGTCAACCAGCACACCCAAGTCCTTTTCCACCAGGCAGTTTTCCAGCCACTCTTCCCACAGCCTGTAGTGCTGCCTGGGATAGTTGTGACCCATGGGCAGGACCCAGCACTTGGCCTTGTTGAACCTCATACCACTGGCCTCAGCCTACCAATCCAGCTGCTCCAGATCCCTCTGAAAAGCCTTTCTACGCTCCCACAGATCAACACGCACACGCAACTCAGTGTCATTCTCAAACAAACTGAGGGCAAACTTGATTCACTTGTCAGAATCATCAATAAAGATTAATTAAACAGGACAGGTCCAAATCCTGAGCCCTGGGGAACACCACTAGCTACTGGCTGCCAAACAGATGTGGCACCATTCACCACCACTCTTTGTTCCAGTCATCTTTGAGAATTTTTAACATCTTTGCTGGAATGTGGCAGGGAATGCCTTCCTACCAAGTCTGACACTCTTCTATCAACTATGAAAGAG